GGTAGTCTGACCACGTTTTCCTGAGACCCTCGCGCCTTTCAGTGGCGCGATGATATGAGCAACTGGTCAGGCCACCAACGCCTCAGATACGCACGTGTGTGCGCACGCATAGTTACACTGACCATTTGCATATACATGCACACATCCATACAAACGTACACTATATGTACATCTGTACTATGCATTCATAGACGCATGTGTGTGCGCTTGTACGCACGCGCGCACTCCGCTAGCGTGCGGATTCCAAAGGGCCAAGATGCATGGCGCGTAGCGCCAATGCAGTCTTGTGTGTATATATATATATATGCATGCATGCATACGTACATACATACATACATACATGCATGCATGCATGTATGTATGCACGTATGAGGACAGCAGGTTTTTCCCTATTCTCGGCCCTTGGGGGCCCTCGCCGGGCCCTGGGGCCGTCAAACAAGGATTCGGGTTATGATGCTCCAACCTACTTTAGCCTTGACCACCAGGAAGAATTTCGAGCGCCAGAAAAAGCTCCGAAATTCAAGGGTTTTCACGTGGCGGGCCCTGGGAGACACTCGCCCGACACTGTTTCGACACTGTTTCGACACTCTTTTGACGCTTTTCCGGGTGCTCGAATTTTTTGCGGGGATGCGGTCCTAAAGTAGGATGGGAACGACATACGACGCGGGGCGGGAAGCCGGCCCCGGGGGGAGGGGTCCGGGACTTCTGGTGGCGCGTATGTCCCGAGAGAGCAGCAGGGCGTCGCGCCTGCCCGGGGCCGGCACGAGGGGGCCGAGAACGGCCCCCTGCAGCTTTGGAGCAGGGGCACCCTCGGGTCGGGCGTCTCTGTCTGCTCCTTCCTGGGCGGCAGCGGGCGCCACACCGGGTATCGAGCAGTGACGAGGCGTCTTGGCTCGCCTATAACCCTACCAAAAACAATGTTCTAAGAACCTTTTGTGGTTCCCACGAACTGTTCTTAGAGCATTTCTGGCGGAGTCTGTCTTGTTTTAACACATCGGGTTAATGTTCTAAGAACATTGTTGTTGATCTTATAACATGTTTGGGTTCTCAGAACATTTCGTGGTAGGACTATAGGAATGCCGGGACGGTCGGTCCCTGCTCAAGATCGAGCGTCTCTGTCTGTTCTTTCCTGGGCGGCAGCGGGCGTCGCACCGGGTACGGAAGAGGGGGGCGGGGGTCGACTGGACGTACGAGTGACCTTTCGCCGGAGTGACCTTTGGTGCGGGCACAGATGGGTCCCCAGCTGGTTGAAAAAAACGAAGCAGGAGCAAGTGCTTGCCTGCCCAGGTTTGGTCCCCACGCGGTGCCCCAGAAAACCGCGCACCAAAGGTCACTCTTACCCAGGGTCACTCTTGCGTGTAGCCGAGGGGGGCGGTGACCGTCACGTTTCGCGCTGGCGCCACCTGGGAATGTTTTCAGGAGTAAACGAGGCCAAGTCGGAGGTCGGCACGAGCCGTGAGGTGCCACGGGGGGGTGGGGTGTGGCCGGGGCCGGTAACGGCCGCCATCGCGAAGCATAGCAATCGTTGTTTTCCGGTCTTCACCTTAGAAGTGCTCTTCGTTTTGGGTATGGGCATGGGGCCTCGGGCCTTTTGGGGAAGGGGCCAATCCATGTTCTGGACGCTCATTCTCGCGGCCATGTTCCGACCGTGCCGATGCCGATGCCTTCCAGGAGAGCCCTCGTCGCCACGGCTGGACTCGCCTCGAAATTCTAGTCAGAGTGCACCCCGGGAGAAGTCCGGGAGTAGAAACGTCGATATCTTCCCAGCCGTGCGATGTCCTGATTCTTCAGTTCGGGACCCTCGGAAGTCCCGAGCGATTTCCCCAGGACCAGCTGCTTCATCGTGGGTCGTTTGTTGACGGCCCCGGGGCCAGGCAACGGCCCCCGGAGGCCGACAACGGGCCAACACCTGCCGTCTTGAATGCTTTCCGACGCGAGCATGCGTGCGTGCGTGCGTGCGTGCGTGCGTGCGTGCGTGCGTGCGTGCGCGCGCGCGCGCGTGCGTGCGTGTGTGTGTGTGTGTGTTTTGGTGTGTGTGGGCGTTTGTGTGTGTATGTGTGTGCGTGTGTGTGTGTGTGTGTGTGTGTGTGTGTGTGTGTATGTTTTGTTGTGTGTGCGTGTGCATCTGTGTGTGTGTGTGTGTCGCGTGTGTGTGTGTGTGTGTGTGGGTGTGTGTGTGTGTCGCGTGTGTGTGTGTGCGTGTGTGTGTGTGTGTGTGTGTGTGTGTGTGTGTGTGCGTGCGTGCGTGCGTGCGTGCGTGCGTGCGTGCGTGCGTGCGTGCGTGCGTGCGTGCGTGTGTGTGTATGTGTCGTGTGTGTGTGTGTGTGTGTGTGTGTGTGTCTGTGTCTGTGCCGTGTGTGTGTGTGTGCCGTGTGTGTGTGCCGTGTATGTCTGTGTGTGTGCCGTGTATGTCTGTGTGTGTGCCGTGTGTGTGTGTGTGTGTGTGTGTGTGCCGTGTGTGTGTGTGAGTGTGTGTGTGTGTGTGGACGGAGGGGGGGAGATTGCCCCCCAGCACAGGCGGCCGCGCTGGCCGGCCTGCGGGCGCAGCACGGGGAGATCCGACGTCTCGGAGAAACATCGAGACGCCGTGAAAAGTTGAGCCTGGAGCCCCAGACCAGTCTTTCTGGGCCCTCTTTCGAACCGGATCGGTCCGTGAGGGTCCCCGGGCCCGAAACGCCGCGAACCCCCCCAGCTCGAAAACATTGAGTCGCCAGGATCTGAGGCCCGAGCCGGATCGGTCCGTGAGGGTTTTCGGGCCCGAAACGACGCGAACCCCCCCCCGCTCGAAAAAACATTAAGTCACCAGGATCTGAGGCCCGAGCGCGCCGCCCGCCGCGAGGGCCAGCTCGGCGCAGGCGCCGCCGAGGCGTCCCTCGCGGCGGGCCCGGTGCGCACCCCGCCCTCTGCCGAGCGGGGCGGCGGCGGCGGGGGCGAGGCGGCGGTGCCGCCGGGGTGCGAGGCGCGGCTCCCAGGCGTGTGCTCAAGCAGGGGCGAAGCGTCCTGGCTTCTCCTTCTCCTCCTCCTCCTCCTCCTCCTCCTCCTCCTCCTCCTACTGCTCCTCCTCCTACTGCTCCTTCATCTTCCTCCTCCTCCATCTTCCTCCTCCTCGTCCTCGAGGAGATTTCGAGTCTGGCGTTTTCGCGTAGTTTTGGGCCCCGGGGCCCTCACGGATCGATCCGGCTCGAAAAGTGGCGCAGAGAGATGGGGTCTAGGGATCCAGGCTCGATGTTTCACGGCGTCTCAATGCTTTGGAGACGTCGGATCTCTGAGATAGGCCTACGAAAAGATTGTTCTAAGAACCGTTTGTGGCTTGCGTGACGTGTTTTTAGAGCAGTTCTGGCTGAGACTGTCCTGTTTTGACACATCGTGTGTGTGTGTGTGTTTGTGTGTGTTCTCAGGACAGTGTTTTCGTTCTCAGAACCACTACCCCGACGTCGTGATTTCTATAATGACGTGACCCTCGGAAGTCTGGCACAATCCCGGAGCCGTTTTTGTTGGTTGGTTTCCTATGTATAACAAACTATTGCCAAACATTATGACGTGACCCTCAGAAGTCTGGACCAATCCAGGAGCCGTCTTTTCTGCTTCTGGTCGCCGTTTTAAGCCGCTTCCATTTTCAAGGGATCTTTTCAAAAATGGTGAAAAAACTGCTCTGTCGTTTCCGGGGCCTGTTATTAAGTTCTGGAGGGACCCGAGGGCTTCACGTGTGCCGGAAGGCCTCTGGTGTGCGGAACAGGGCCACAAGCTGAGAGAAACCTCGATCCTCACTTCAGCGGAGGCTCGATGAGCAGCAGCTCTGCTGCCGAGACCTGTTCGTCAGTGAGACCCTCTGCGTCGACGTCCTGGGGCGGCACCCTGCAGACTCTTGGGTAATTGGGTGTTCGATCATGGCCCCTTCTTAGACGCATCCATCCAGCTTTCGCGCCGAAGTCCGCCAGACACCGCCGAAGACTTGCCCAGACCCGCCGCAGACCCCCAGAGACCGCTAAGACCGCCGAAGACCGCCAGAAGACCACCGAAAACCACCGAAGAACGCCCAAGGCTGATGGGCAGCAAGGGGCACATGGTCGAACACGTAGGTTTCATCTTGCAGGGTCCATTTCGATCCGATCGTTCCGATTCGATGCCGATTCCAGCCGGCCCGATCCGACTCGATTCCGGTAAGCCGACTCGGCCCGATGCTTGCTTGGCGGTGTTGCGCGTCGCAGCCGATCCGTCCGATCCGATCTCGATCCCTTGCCGATGCAGCTTGATTTGATGTATATGTTGGGTCGATCCGATTCGCCGGCTCGATGCTGACCGATCCTGACTTGTGGGTCTTATCGCAGGCGAGTTTTCTCCCCCAATCCCCGAGTTCCGCTCGAAAAGTTTCGCCGCTCAGAAGAGGGGGAAACTCTGGGATACACCCCGAGGGGGCAACTCGGACGCGCCTGTGTCGGGGATGGACGCCCCCCCAACGTATATCCCAGGGTTGGGCCCCCCACAATTCTGGTCCGCGCAAAACCCCACGAAGCCTGGGGTAGGGGTTAACGTATCCCCTGATATGATCTGAGCTTCCCAGATGGGGTCCGAGTAGATGGGGTCGAAGGGTCGCACCGCATCGCCGATGCATCGCCGCTGCGGCTCGATGTGGAGCCCGATTTGCTTCACGCCGACGTCGCAGATGCATCGCCGACGTCGACGATGCATCGCTGGTGCATCGCCGATGCATCGCCGATACATCGTGGATGCATCGTCGATTCATCGGCGATGCGGTGCGATCCTCCGGCCCCATCCACAGTCGGACCGAGGTGTAAGATCGAGGTCGGTTCGGGAAGGGTACCCTAGCGTTCTTCGTGTTTGTTGGATGTTCTTGCGCATCCTGGGGAGGGCACCCTTGGACGTTCTGTCTGTTTTGGCCGACGGAGGGTTTCATGTTCTTCAGGGATGTTCTTCTGGCCCAGGTCGGACAGTACTCCGACCCCATCTGGGAGGCCGCTGCATGGCTTGCGGGTCGTATCCGCGGTCCTCCTCGAGGCGCAGCCGCCGTGCGCGGGAGGCGGGGAGACTCGGTCGGGTCGCCGGCGGGGCGGCTGTCGCGGGCCTCGTCGGCGCCCAGCGGCTCCCCGTTGGCGGCCATCGGCGACCGCTTCGGCTCACCGAAGGCGCCGTCGCCGCCGTTGTCGTCGTCGTGGCCGCCTTGGTAGGTCGTCGTCGTCGTCGTCGTCGTCGTCGTCGTCGTCGGCATCGTCAGGTTACTGAAGAAGTGGGAGCTACCACTTGAGCGTTTCATTGGTATGGGGCCAGAGGGCTCGCGACAACTTTGCAGCCTTGGGCATAAGAGCCTGGGATTTTCTGGAAGATGTGAGCGCGATGCAGCCATGGGAGTTATCGAAGACGCCTACGGCGGACCACCGCCGCCTCCTGCCTTTGGGTAAAGTCTCGGTGGCCAAGCGTTGGGCCGAAGTCGTTCCAAACTATTGGACTACGTGGTTTCAGAGCCGTTGCGAAACCCCTTGGGGGAACACTTGGGGGAGGAAGAGAGGAGGATGAGGAGGAATGGAATGAGGAGAGGGAAGGGAAGGGCAATTGATGAAGGAGAGGAGGCCTCTCGGGGGCCCTCTGGGGGCGGCCTGGGGGCTTCCTTGGGGCCTCGGGGTCTCTGAGTGGCCTCTGGGGGACCTCTTGGGGTCTTTTTGGGGTCCCTGGGGCCTACAGGGGGCTTAAAGGGAGCCGTCTTGGCCGCCGGGTGCCCGAACGGACGAGAACGCGACAATCTGCCAACGATTTAAGAGAATCTTGAGTCGTCACGGAGGCGTTTGGGAGCCATCTTGGGCCCATGTTTGACGTCTTGGATGCCATCTTGGACTGTCTCGGAGGCCATCTTGGATCATCTCGGCAGTCTTGAGGGCGATGTTTGCCGAACCTGTGGTGTTGGGCTCTCAACTTGAAAAGAGCACCGTGGTCTCCAAGGACCTCCACCTCCTCCTCGCTTCCTACCTCCTCCTCCGCCTGTCTTCTCATGCATCCTGTGCGCTCCCTCGGGGGCTGCGAACTGCGCAATCGTCGCCACTTTCGCGAGCTCCTGGCAGGCACGGTGGAGATGAGCGCAGCGCAGATCCAGGCGAGACCTAACGGCCCCGTCGGGGGCTGCGAAATGCGCAATCGTCGCCGCTTTGTTGGGCTCCTGGGAGGGCACGGCGGAGGTGAGTGTCGCGCAGAGACAGGCGAGACGGCCTCGCTGCCTCCCGCGAGGGCTGTGAACTGTGCAACGGTCGCCATTGTCGTGGGCTCTTGGGGGGGTCCAGCGGAGTGGGTAGTCAAACTATGCGACACTGACCCATGCAGGAGCCTGCTGTGCCGACAACCAGTGTGTGTGTGTGTGTGTACACCGAACGGTTCCGGGCGGGGTGGGCTATCGCCCCCTATCGTCGATCAACTGACGATTGGGGATCGATGCCCTTGAGCCCGACATTGTTCGGCAAAATATGTTCAGAGGGCTGCACACTTCGCATCGAGTTCTGTGTAGCCTCGCGCGCAGGCGAGATCTGGGTACGCCTCGGACGCCAAGCACCCCCTTTGCGAACAGCATGGGACGGCGGATCGAAGACGCCTGCGGCGAATCCCCGCAGCCCCCCCGCCGTCCTGGAACTGCCTACGTGGCAGCACGCGGTGGCCAGAGTTGGGCCCAGCAGTCAGATCATGTTTTCCCCCAGTCGTGGTGGGAACGCTTCGGGGAACACGTCGGGGGAGGAAGAAGAAGACTGTGATAGATCGCGTACAGTAGGGCTTTCCTGGAGGTTGTCTCGGAGGCCTCGTGGGGGCCTCTCGGGCCTTCTTGAGCTATCTTGGGCCAGTTTGGGTGCATCTTGACTCGTCCTGGAGAACTCTGGCGTCCATCCTGGGCCGTCCTGGGGCGATCTAAGACGTCTTGGAGGCATCCTGGAGGCCACCTTCAGCCACCTCTTGGCCGCCTTGGAGCGGAAAAATCCGACGACCCGGGAAATATCCGCGCAGCTGCCTGGGGTGCGAGCCGGAGCGGCCGAGGCCCCCACGGTGGGAAGCTTCAGGCAGGGGCAGACAGCAAACATCCGGCACGCGCCGTGCACCATTGTTAAGCCACGCGCAGATGTCGAGCAGTGGCGAAGCGTCCTGGCGTGCCTATAGCCCTACCAAACAATGTTCTGAGAATCTTTTGTGGTTTCCACGGAATGCTCTTAGAACATATCTGTCGGAGTCTGTCTTGGGCTTCTGTTCTAAGAACATTGGTTTTGTTCATAGAACATGCTGGGATTCTAAGAACATGTCGTGGTAGGCCTATAGGAATGACGGGACGGTCGGTCCCTGCTCAAGGGCGGGGGGGAGGGGGGAGGGCTTCTTAGAAGCACCCCTGCTTATCAGAAGGCGCGCGCCTCGTCAAAACATGTAAGGCCGGCGCCTTTCTAAGGAGCAGCCTCCTTCTATAGGGGAACAAAAGTGGCATAAACATAAAAACTCGGAGGTCCGCGCGGATTTCTCGGATCGGCGCTGGACCCCCCTCCCTGGCGCGCGGAGCGCGCCAGGGGCGGCGCCGGAGGCGCCGCCGGGGGGGGGTCCAGCGCCGATCCGAGAAATCCGCGCGGACCTTCGAGTTTTTATGTTTCTGCCACTTTTTGTTGCTCGCCTATTCCAAGAAGCCCTCCCCCCTCCCGTCCCTCCACCGCGCCGCCGAAACTGTGGCAAGCCACAGGGGGCCTGCAGGGCCAGTGGGGTGCGGCCGGCCGGCACTGACACCGTGCCCCGGGCCCCAGAGATCCGACGTTCCAACAGAACTTGGAGCGGGCGGTTTGTGGCTGACTTCGGCCTCTGGGGGCCCTCGCCGGCCTTCGGGGGCGTCAGAAAACAGGGGCAGAAAACCGGCCCCAGGGAAGTGGTCCGGACCTCCAGGGCCCATGCCTCGAAAAAGTTGGAGCAGCGGGATGTCTGGGTCGTGGGCCATTGGCCTCTTGGAAGCCTCCTGAGGGGGCCTCTTGCGGGCCTCTTGGAGCTGGTGTGGGGCCTCTCAAAAAGCTTCTTTGGGGCATCCTCAGGTCTCTCTTGGGGCCCTCGTGGGGGCCTCGTGGGGGTTCTTGAGGTCCGTCTTGGGGGCCCGCTTGTGATCTCGATGGCCATCTTGGGGAAGGGCTCGAAACCTCAGTTCGTGTTCCCCTTGGAGGTTGAGACCCTCGGTCAGGCTCCCGTTGCTTCGGGAGAAGTCGCGCGGACATCTTGGGAGCGCCCAGGAGCGCACAGAACTTTGTTCGGGGCCCCCACTGTATGACAACACTGTGCACAGCGGGCCCGAAGGGACCTGGGGGCACTCCCCTCAGTGCCTACGGCACGATGGCAGATTACCTTTTGCGCGGTCGTCCTCGTCGGCGTCGGCGCTGCCGCCGTCGTCACCGTCGTCGGCATCGCCGCCGCCGTCGTCGTCGTCGGCGTCGTCGTTGCCGTCGCCGCCGCCGCTGCCGTCGTCGTCGTCGTCGTCGTCGTCGTCGTCGTCGTCGTCGTCGTCGTCGTCGTCGTCGTCATTGTCCTTGCCGCTGCCGCCGCCGCCGTGGTCGTCGTCGTCGCCGCCGCCGCCGCCGCCGCCGTCGTCGTCGTCGTCGTCGCCGTCGTCGTCGTCGTCGTCATCGTCGTCGTCGTCGTCGTCATCGTCGTCATCGTGGTCGTGGTCGTCGTTGTCGTCGCCGTCATCGTCGCGGTCGTGGTCGTCGTCGTCGTCGTTTTCGTGGCCGATGTGGTCGTCGTGTTTGTCGTCGTGGTCGTCGTGTTCGTCGTCGTCGTCGTCGGGCGCCCCCGCGGAGGGCGCAGCAGGGGCGCAGCTCGCAGCGGGCGGCGGGAGCCCGCTGGCGCAGCAGCTGCGGGAGCTGGAGGAGCGCGACGCAGAGGGCAGAGTCGCAGTTGTTCTGCACATAAAAATGCAGACGGTTCTTCTCCCCCTGAATCCTCCGGCTCCGCGCGAAAAGTTCGGCCGCTCAGGAAAAGTGGGAAACCTTGGGATACACCCCAAAGTGGCTATTCTCGAAGAAATATGTCATGACCCTGGGGCGCACCCCAAGGTGGCCATTCGGACGCACCCCCCATCGAGGCTGGACGCTCCCCCCATCGTATATCCCAGGATTGGCCGAAATGGTTGGGCCACTCGAAAAAAAGCACGAAGCCTGAGATAGGGGTCGACATGTTCCCTGCGACAGAGGGCCCTTGGAGGGATCGACGGGGAGCGAGGGGGGGGGGGGGAAGTTCGAGGTTCGAACTTCGAGGTTCGAGATTCGAGGGTTTTTTTTCCCCGTACCCCGTCTTCGGCCTCCAGAGGCCGTTTTCGGGACCCGGGGCCCCCGAAACTTGATCCGGGGTAAGAAACCTTGTCGGATGGACACCGGGAGGGGTCGGGGGACGGATTGCGACAGATATTCGGCGTCGCGCCCGGGGGGGAATTGAGAAGTAGAAAGCCTTCTCAGAAGGCCGGAGGGCTTCTGAGAAGCCCTCCGGCCTTCTGAGAGGTTTGCTCTGCCTTCGGGGAAGACTTCGGGAACTTCTCAGAAGTCTGGGGGGGACCTCCGAGCCTTCTGAGAAGGCCCGCCCCTTCTCACTTCCCCCCGGGCTCGCCGCCGAGAGGGATGCAGCGACTGCTCTCGGCCAGGAACAAAAGCTCGACTGGGCCGAGCTCAGCCAGCTGAGCTCGGCCAGGCCGAGCTCGGCCAGCTGAGCTCGGCGCGGAGGGAGAAGGGCCCCGAGGCATTGCCTATGAGCGACGACCATGTCTCGGAGGAGGGGCAGGTGCCGATGCGGTGGGGGCGTTCGTGAAGGAATGCGGCCAGGAGGCTCCTGGCCCTGGAGGATCTCTTATCTGCTGAGGGCGCACCCATGGCCAGTCCACAATTGGAGTTCCACCAGCTTCGGACCCTGGATTCCTTGTCCAATGGCTCCTTATCCCATGTCCTCACCGTGCTGCGACCCTTCTCTCGTTTTCGTGGTCTTCGGGGATCGTCGATCCCCAGGCAAGTTCGGGCAACTGTTTTGGGAAGTGGGGGAAGGAAGACAAAGACCCAGGAAATCCTGGGATTTGTGTCTGATTACTTGTGTGTGTGTGTCCCTGGGCCCCTTTGGTGTGCTCATCGCTGGGTGGGGACCCCTCGTCCCTACAGAGAGCTTTTGCTCCCTCCCGCGCGCAGAGAGGAGCGCATCGCGGGGCGCAGCCAGGCAGGGCAGCGCCCGGAGCTGGGGGCGCCACGGCAGGAGGACCACGGCGCGAGGCGGGAGCTGCGCGGGCTCCTGATGTAGATGCCGTCGGCCGGTCCTGTGGGCCGGCGGCGAGCGAGGGAGGGGGGGGGGAAGTCAGGAGGAGAAGGCCCGCTCAGTAGGCGGCAGGGCTTCGCAGAAGCCCTCCGGCCTTCCGAGAGGTTTTCTTGTGTCTTGGTGGCAGGCGTAGGACACCTCTCACAAGGCTGGGGGACTTCTGAGCCTCCTGAGAAGGCCCGCCCCTTCTCACTCCCCCCCGGGGCTCGCCGCCGAGTAGATGCCGTCAGCCAGTCTGTAGGGTCTCTGTATGGTTCTCCTGTCACGCACCTGTGGTTTCACACACTGTCGCGCAGTTGCGCGCGCCAGGGCACCGTCGGGTACATTTCCAGTGCTGTTGTGCCTCCATTGTGCCCAGAGTGCCCAAAAGTGCATTCCTCCTTCTTCTCGTTGACTTAAGTCGGGCCTGCCCCTCTACAGTTGGAATATTCAAAAGTCGTCAAAATTAGTCAGGGGACGATGTTCTGGACTATCTTTGACCATTTTGGGATGTATTTGTTTGACTCTTTTTGATGTTTCGTCCAGAACCCCCTGTAGGGGGACATGCCCGACCTACAGTGGGAGCGCGCATCAAGAAACCATATGCTTTTCGTCAGGGTATCCTGGGTTTCGCTCCTCGCGCTGCGCGGTGACTTCCCGCAGCCGTTGAAGGAGCCGTTGCGTTCAGGGTGCTCCCGGTTTCCCCTCAGGTGTTCCCAAAGTAGTCCAAACATAGTCTGGAGACGATTTGTTTTCAATAGCATGTTTTCACCATTTGGGGTATCTTTTATGTTTCGTCCAAAATCCTCCTGAAGTATCTTTCTATTTTTCGCCCAAACTCCTCCTCGAGGGGGACAGGCTCGACCTACTCGTTGGCCCCTCGACGCCGTGTGGCGGCTCACCGCCGCTCCGGGGGCCGGCCACGCCGTGCGCGGCGTGCGGCGCGGGCGCCGGCGGTGCCGAGCGGCGCAGAGCGGCGCCCCGCGCTGCGGGGCGTGGCGCGCCTGGGCGGGGAGGGAGGGCCACGCTCACGGCACGGTGGTGCCCGAGCTTGCGCCAGGCACTGCGAGCTGCCCTCCTCGTCTTCCTCTCCTCGTCCTCCTCCTCCTCCTCCTCCTCCCTCGCCTCTCCTCCTCTCCTCGCCTCCTCTGCCTCCTCTTCCGCCTCCGCGTCCTCCTCTCTCCTCCGCTGCCTCCTCTCTTTCTCCCCCTCCTCTCCTCCTCTGGTCCCCTTCCTCCTCGTCATTCCTCGTCTGCCCCCTCTCCTCCTCTTCCTCCTCTTCCCCCGCCTCCAGGCCAATGGTCGGCGGCGAGTGAGGTGGGGAAGCGAGACGGGGCGGGCCTCCTCAAAAGGCTCGGAAGTCCCCCGGCCTTCCAAGAAGTGTTGAGCCTTCCCCGAAGGCACAAAAAGCCTCTCCGATGGCGCGAGGGCTACTGAGAAGCCCCGCTGCCTTCTGCGAAGACCTTCTCCTTCTCACTTTCCCCCTCGCTCGCCGCTTGAATGAGCAGGAATGCAGACAGCATCTTGCATTGTCGGTTGCCGCTATTCGGGAGGCCGCAGGCACGGGACTGCATGCCGTGGTCGCCCGCCCTTGTCCCTTCTTGTGCAGCATCTGCTTGCCGCAGACATGGCCACCTGGCGTCGAGGAGCCGCTAGGCGAGCACGATGGTCATGATGTCGAAACCGGCAGGCTGCGATTCGCCATGAGCAGCTGTATGGGTCAATCAAAGGCCGAAGGCCGTCGCCTTTGCTGCAGTGCTCTCTACCCCAGCAAACGACCTCCCTGCAGGCGCGGGCGAGACCGAGTGCTGGGAATTCACGGCCATGTTCGACTGCATGGGTGCGCTCAGCACCAAACGCAACGACGACCCTGCGAAGGCTTCACGAGCGTTCGACCAGGACCCGTAGCAAAGCTGCAGAGACGGCGATGGTGGAAGAGGAGGAGGACATGATGAGGATGAAGGGGGATAGAGGAAACATGCGGGACGAGGGAGGGAGGATGGAGGATGCTGGTTATGAGGGAGGATGATGATGAGGATGATGAGGCGGAGGGGATGAGTAGGATGAGCGGGTTTAGGGAAGCGATGCTCGCTAGCTAGCAGTAGACCAACTGATTTGTGTTGGGTATGTGTGCCCGTAGGTCGTTGTCCACACATGTATGTCTGTATTCTGCTCGTCGAAGCCCTCCCATATGGTCCGCGCCGTTCTTCAACCCAAATGTTAGCACTGTTCTTGCCCATCCCGCTATTGCCGCTTGGCCTCCCCGGTTAATATTCGTACTATACAAACATATGTATCTAAAGCACACACCACCCTTCCAGACATACATGTGTTAATGGCCTTCGGCCCATCCCGCCACCGTGCCTGGGTTGTGGGTCATAGACATCTAGGGTGTTCGTTCGGGTGTCGCTGGAGGCCTCTCGGGGGCCTCGTGGAGGCAGTTTTTTGGGGCCATGTTTTGGTTTTTTGGGGCGTCTAAGGGGGGCTCTTCTTGGGGCCTCTTGGGGCCTCTCGGGGGCCTCTTGGGGCCTCCTGGGGACATTTTCTGACAGAAGGGTCGAATTGTCGGTTCAGGCTTTCGCTCTTGGGTCCCTCTTGGGACCGCGGCTGTCTTGCACGCCTCTTGAGCCGTCTTGGGGCCCTCTTGGGCCGTCTCGGGGCCCTTTTGGGGGCGTCTTGGGTCGTCTTGGGGCGATATTGGGGGCCTCTTGGGCCGTCTTGGAGCGTCGGAGGCGCGAAACGTCGAGTACCCAAAACTATTTCAGCACCTAAGGACGATCCATGCTTTTGGCCTCTCTGGGCCCTCTTGGGAAGGCTCTTGGGGCGTCTCGAAGGATTCTTGAGCCATCTTGGAGTCACCTTGAGAGCGTCTTGGACCGATCGTGTAGCGATTCGGGGCCCCTGGACCGGCCGGGAGGCCTCTCTGGGGTCTGCTGTCCCGCCTTGGGGCCCGCTCGGCGCACGAAGAGTCATGCTTGAACGCGCGTCGCGTCCGAGAGGGCACGCGGGAAGCCCGAGAGATGGAGGATGTGGGGTCTGGGCCCCTAAAGCTTGGCATCGCTCGGACGTGCTCGGCGAGGACCATCGAGGAGCATCTTTGATCACTTAGCGAAGAATGCACGCACGAAATCGAACAATGCACGGGGAGTGGACGTCCGAGCGATGGCGAGACAGGGAATCCTCAGGACGGAAGACTGGGGCTCCGAGGGGTTGAGCAAGGAGCCTGGGGGCACTCCACCTCGTGGGTCTCGGGGGCCCCCTTTTGGAGCGGAGGGCTAGGAGTCTCGATTCGAGCTCCCCCCTCTGGAGTCCTCTGGGGGGCTCTCTGGGGGCCCCCTTGGGCTGTCTTGGGCGCTTCTTGGGCCGTCCTGGTGCCCTCTTGGGCCGTCTCGGGGCAAACCTTTGGGGCCTCTGAGGCCGTCTTGGGAAGGTTTGGGAGGCCTCTTGGGCCGTCTTGGACGCCGTGAAGGCCGAAACATCGCATATGCCAAGCATGTATGTTTTTCAAAGGGGATGAGGCGATTTGTGTCTCTTGGAGCTCTCTTGGAAGGGCCTTGCAGGCCCCTTGGGGCGCCTCACAGACTTCTTGGGGGCCGTCTAGGGGCCATCTGGAGCGTCTTGGCCGATCTCTCGGCGGAGTTTTTTTTTTTTTTTTTTTTTTTTTTTTGTATTTTCGGCCTCTGGGGGCCCTCACCGGCCCTCGGTACCGTCAGGAAACGGCTCAGGATGGAAAACCGGTCCAGGGGAATGGGTCGAGACCTTCAGGGGCCAACGTAATGAAACAATCATGACTGTGGGGGTCTGGGTAAACCGTCTGAGAGGCCTCTTCGATCCCTCTTGGCCCGTTCTGAGAGCCTCTTGGTGCACTCTGGCGCTGTCTTGGGCACTCCAGGGGCGCTCGCTACTCAGCTGGCCCGCCAGGCCTGAAATCAAGGCATATCCATTTCCCATGTGTATGGGTATTCGTTGTACTAGTGCAGGTGTACATCACACACATAGGTATATATTAAGTAAGCAAATTAATAAACATAGATAAACACATGAGTAAATACATGTGGTCCATCCTGCCACCGTGCTCGGATCGTGGACACCGGGCCTCTCGGGGTTCTCTTGGGTGCCTCTTGGGGTCCTCTTGGCGGTCTCTGGGGGGCATCTTGAGAGAACGAGTCTGGAATGCCAGTTCGAGTGCCCCCTCTTGGGCCCCTCGCGTGGCCGTCTTGAGTGCCTCCTGGGCCCTCTTTGGGGGCCTGGGGGGCCGCCTCGGGCCGACCATTGGGGGCCTCTTGAGCCGTCCTGGGCGCTCTTAAGACCGACAGGCCGATCTTTGCCCCCACGAGTGGTTGGACTCCGGGATCCTCGCCTGCTGTGCCCATCTGCGGGCCCAGCGGCCCCGCTCCCGTCTGTCGCCGCCGCCGCCGCCGTCGCCGCCGCCGTCGCCGTCGCCGTCGTCGTCGTCGCCGCCGCCGTCGCCGTCGTCGTCGTCGTCGCCGTCGTCGTCGCCGTCGCCGTCGTCGTCGTCGTCGTCGTCGTCGTCGTCGTCGTCGTCGTGTTCGTCGGCTCGCGCCCGCCTCGGCTCGAGGCGCCGGCGCTTTCTTTCGGAGCGCGCCACCAATGCAGCCCCTCTCTGCCGCGCTCGCCCAGTAAGGCCCGCGAGGGGGATCTCGGCGGCCCGGCGCCGCCCTACCGAACCGAGCCCATGAGGACGGTGCTCCTTCGCGTCTCCGAGGGGGAGGCGGAGGAGGAGGAGGAGGAGGAGGAGGAAATCAGGACATGAGGACATGAGGAGGAGGAGGAGGAGGAGGAGGAAATGAGGAGGAGGAAATGAGGAGGAGGAAATGAGGAAATGAGGAGGACCATGATGTTGATACTGATGCTGCTGCTGTTTCTTCTGATGATGATGGCGATGAGGAAGAAAGAGAAGAGGATGAGGAGCAGGTGGATTCGGAGGAGTAGGAGGAGGAGGCGGAGGCGTCGTGCGTAGGAGCGGAGGCGTCGTGCGTAGGAAGAGCAGGCGGAGGGTCTTGAGGACTTCGATGAGGAGGGGGAAGGATGGGGAGGATTTGTCTTCTTCCCCGACCTCGGAGGTAAAGTCAGGTCACCACCATCCTGTCCCTCGAATATCGAGGATTCGAGATTCGGAGTGGTGCTCAGACGTGTTTCGCAATTTTTGGTCCTCCAGGGGGACTTTTGCAGACACGGCTGGACTCCTTTCCAGATTCTGGTCCAGACGCACTTGCGGTGAGAGGTCTGGGGGCCAGTTTTTTACTTGCAGGCTCCTACATCCTCGCGTCGTGAACAACAACAGATATCGACGGAAGGTGTTTTGCCGTTCTCTGCCTCTGAGGCACCTGGACGGGCCCCCTGATCGTACAAACGGTTCATGGTGAAAAACCTGCCCCAGGGAAGTGGGACCTGCATGAAGTCCACGTTGTGAAAACAACCGTGCCGCCAGAGTCTTGGTTCTCCTCCACTTCCTGGTTCTGTTCCGTTGGGGGAGGCCGTTTCGTCGCCTTGGCGGGATCCGTCTCGGGGTCCTCGTCGGAACGCTCTTCAGGAGAGGTCCTGGGTGGGGCCGATTTTGAAAGAGAGGAGAAGCAGTCGAGATGGAGGAGAAAGATGGACGTGGCGGGGAGCAAGAAAGGGGGAAGGGGAGGAGGAGAAGGGGGACCAGTAGGAGAAGGAGAAGGAGGAGGAGGATGAGAAGGAAGAGGAGGAGAACGAAGATGAGGAGGATAATGAGTATCGTGATGATGACGCCGACGGCGGCGACGACGATGCTGCTGCTGATGATGCTGCGGTTGATGATGATGATGATGCTGATGACTAGAATGATGCTGAGGTGGAGGGACGAGGACGCTGATGGTCTGTTTCCCTCATCCCCCCCTGTTCAGAACCAGCCACTAAGGCACATTCCGTGCAGGCACCGCAATCCTAGAACCTCGATGTGATACGGAGGAGACGAAATAAGAGGTGGATCAGGATAAGGATATTACTAATTAAGACGATGCTGTTGATGTTGATGGTTGTGGTGGAAGTGGGGATCATGAGGTTGATGGCGACGATTAGGATGACGATGAAGATGACGATGACGATGACGACGACGACGGTGACGACGATGGAAACGATCATGATCATGTTGATGATGATGATGATGCTGATGATGCTGATGCTGATTCTGATGATGCTGATGATGCTGATGGTGCTGATGATGATGCTTGTGCGGCTAATGCGGATAGTGATGCTGATGCTGATGCCGCTGCTGACGATGCTGCTGATCATGGTGATGCTAATGATGCTGATGCTGATGCTGTTGATGCTGATGCTGATGCTGACGGTGCTGCTGATTATGATGCTGATGCTGACGGTGATGAGGATTATGATGATGATGTTGATGATCCTGATGCTGACGATGACAATGATGCTGTTAATGTTGCTGCTGCTGCTGCTGCTGCTGATGATGATGATGATGATGATGATGCTACTGCTGCTGCTGATGATGCTACTGCTGCTGCTGCTGCTGCTGATGATGATGATGATGATGCGTATGCTGATGCTGCTGATGAATGGTGCTGGTAAAACATGGAGAGGATGAGGAGGAGGAGGATGAGGAGTATGAGGAGGATGAGGAGGCGGAGGATGCTGCGGAGAAGGAGGCGGAGGAGGATAGGGAGGTGGTGGAGATGGAGGGGGAGGAGGCAGCATCGGTAGCAACATTAGCAGCAACAGCAGCAGCCGGGAGCGGCGGAGGCGAAGGCGGCGTGTGGAGAAGTAGGACGATAACGAGTCAGATGATTCGGATGTGGAGGGGGGAAGAAAGGAGACGATTGTGATGCCGAGGACGAGGACGACGACGATTATGATGATGATGCTGATGATGCTACTGCTGCTGCTGCTGATGATGACGATGGTGGTGATGATGATGATGATGATGATGATGACGATGACGACGACGATGATGATGTTGATGATGTTGATGATGACGACGGCGACGACGACGAGGCAGATGATGGCGATGATGTTGATGCTGATGATGCTGCAGGTGATGATGGCGATTATGCCTATGCCGACGATGCGGATGGTGACAATGAGTCAGCGATGCTGAAGATGATGATGGTGCGGATGATGATGGTGATGATGATGATGATGTTGTTGAGGATAACGATGTTAATGATGACGCCGATGATGTTGATGCTGAGTATTATTATTTGCGCATGCTGTTGAAAGTCATGTTGATGATGACGATGCTGATGTTGATGTTGATATTGATGTTGGTGATGATGCTGATGATGCTGATGATGATGATTATGATGACGATTATGTTGAAGGTGCTGGTGCGGATGTGGATGTTGATGTTGCGGTTGGTGCATATGATGTTGCTGATGAGGAGGCTGATGCTGATGGTGGTGATGCTGATACTGCTGATGGTGGTGTTGCCTATGAAGCTTCTGAGGGTGATGATGATGATGCTGCTGCTGATGATGATGGTGGTGATGACGATGCCGACGACGAAGGGGAGGATGATGATGATGATGAGGAGGAGGAGGAGGAGGATTGGGAAGGCCAAGAACAAGAGGAGGATGAGGAGAAGGAGGGTGAGGAGGAAGTGGAGGCGGATGCTGTTGTTGATGGGGGGCATGGGGAGGAGGAGGTGGAGGAGGAGGAGGAGGAAGAGGAGGAGGAGGAGGAGGAGGTCCCGTGTATCGGGATAGTTAGGCCCCTGCGCGCGCACCTTCTTGGCACCAGGACCAGTCACTGCTGAGCGGTGCGCTGGTCCCGGGGTTGGGGGGGGCGCGCCTGCTCCCGTGTAAAGTGCTCGGGAGCGCCGACAGATGCGTTCGCCGCTCGGAGGAGGAGGAAGAGCAGGAGCAGGAACAGGAACAGGAGCAGGAGGAGCATGAGCGGGCGCCAGTTTTCCCGATCCCGCCCTTCCCCCCGTGCTCAAATGGAGGAGTGCACTGCCGCTGGTCGCCGCCCTGCTCTGCCTCAGCAGCGCTTTGAGGTTGGCCGCGGGCGTGCAGCAGGGTGACTCAGGCTTCGGTGCCTCTCCAAGATTGGGCGAAACGTGGCAGGCGGGGGGGTGACGCAGCCATACACCTCCTGCTCTTCCTCCTCCTCTTCCTCCTCTCTTCCTCCTCCTCTTCCTCCTTCTCCTCCTCCTCCTCCTCTTCTTCGTCTTCCTCCTCTTCCACCTCCTCTCCCCTACCCCATCCACCACCTCCTCCTCCTGCCTCTACCCTCCTCCTGCTGCTGCTGCTGTTCCTCCTCCTCCTCCTCCTCCTCCTCCTCCTCCTCCTCCTCCCTGCCCTCCTCCTCCTTCTCCTTCTCCTTCTACTCCTCCTCCTCCTCCTCGTCCTCCTCCTCGTCCTCCTCCTCCACCTCGTCCTCCTCCTCCTCCTCCTCCTCCTCTTCCTCCTCCTCCGCGTCCCCCTCCTCCCCCTCCCCCTCCCCCTGGGGGAGGGGCAGGGGGGGAGGAGAGGGGACGAGGAGGAGAAAAAGCGAAGGTGGTGGGCGAGGGATGGGAAGGAGTGATGGGGAGGGGGGGAGGGGATGCGGAAGGAGGGATGAGGGTGGATGAGGAAGAGGGGGTGATTGGATTGCGCTTCAGCTGAAAGCCACCTGCAAATTCGCTCAACAGAGGCACCGTTCATGTCTTTGCTGAGAAGCCCGGTGTTCCCCTGCAGGGTGCAACACGCTTGCCATACCTGGCTGGGAACCTCCAAGCGAAGCTGTGCCTTGGCTCATCCTAAGCCAGGAAGGAAGGGGGGGAGGAGGAGGAGGAGGAGGAGGAGGAGGAGGAGGAGGAGGGGAGGAGGAGGAGGACGAGGAGAGAGGAGAGGAGGAGGAGGAGAGAGGAGGAGGAGCGGAGAGGAGGAGGAGGAGGATGGGGAACGAGGAGAAGAGGGGAAGATGAAGATTTGATGAGAGAAGGAGGAGGAGTGGGAAGAGGAAGGAGGAGGTGGAGGAGAGAGGAGGAAGGAGAGTAGCAGGCGGAGGAGGAGAAGGAGAGGACGAGGAGGAGAGGAGGGGAGGAGGAGGAGGAGGACGATGATGGAGGAGAAGAAGGAGGAGGAGGAGGAGAAGGAGACGAGGAGGGGAAGGAGATGAGAGGAGGAGGAGGAGGGGGTGAGAGGAGAAGGAGAAGAAGGAGAGGAGGGAGGATAAGGAGCTGGATTAAGGAGGAGGATAAGGAGGAGGATAAGGAGGAGGATAAAGGAGGAGGGACTGGGAGAGATGGAGGAGGGAGGAGGAGGATGGGAGGAGGCAAGAGATGAAGAAATGATTGAGAGGGAGGAGGAGTGAGGAGGAGGAGGAGGAGAGGAGGAGGAGGAGGAGGAAGAGGAGAAGGGGAGGACGAGGAGGAAGACGAGAAAGAAGAGGAGGAGGAGGAGGAGGAGGAGAGGAGGAGGAGGGAGGAGGAGGAGGAGGAGGAGGAGTTGGAGGAGGATCAGGAGGAGGAGGAAGAGGAAGAGGATGCTGATGATGCTGATGATGATGCTGATGATGATGCTGATGATGATGATGATGATGATGATGATGCTGATATTGATGATGATGATGCTGATGCTGATGCTGATGATGATGATGCTGATGATGATGATAATGATGATAATGATGATAATGATGATGATGATGACGATGACGATGACGATGATGATGATGATGATGATGATGATGATGATGATGATGATGATGATGATGATGATGATGATGATGTGATGGTGATGGTGATGGTGATGGTGATGGTGATGGTGATGATGGTGATGATGATGATGCTGATGATGATGTGATGATGGATTGATGATGAGGGGAGGAGGAGGAGGAGGAGGAGTGAGGAGGAGGATGAGGGGGATGCGGAGGAGGAGGAGAGGAAAAGAGAGGAGGGAGGAGGAAGGAGGAGGAGAAGGAGGAGGCGGAGGAGGAAGGAGGAGGAGAAGGAGGAGGAGGAGGAGAAGCGGAGGAGGTGGAGGAAAGGGATGCCGAGGAGGACGAGGAGGGCGAGGAGGAGAAGGATGAGGAGGAAGAGGAGGAGGAGAAGGAGAATGAGGAGAATGGGGAGGAGGGGGTGAGGGAGGAGGAGGAGGGGGAGAGAAGGAGGAGGAGGAGGAGGAGGAGGAGGAGGAGGAGGAGGAGGAGGAGGAGGAGGAGGAGGGGGGAGGGGGGAAGGAGGAGGAGGAGGAGGAGAAGCATCCAGGGAAGGAAGAGTATGACCCAGATGATGGTGTTGTTGATGATGATGATGGTGGTGATGATGATGGTGATGGTGATGGTTATGGTGATGATGCTGCTGATGCTGATGCTGATGCGGCTGATGATGATGCTGATGATGGTGATGATGGTGATGGTGATGGTGATTGTGGTGATGAGGATGACGATGCTGATGATGCTGATGATGACGCCGACGATGATGCTGATGCTGCTGTTGATGCTGATGCTGATGATGACTCTGAAGATGCAGCTGATGCTGATGATGGTGATACTGATGATGGTGATTGTGATTATGGTGATGATGCTGGTGATGATGATGATTATGCGGATTATCATGATGCTGATGATGATGATGATCATGCTGATGATGATGGTGCTGACGATGCGGATGATACAGATGATGATGCTGATGATGCTGTTGATTATGTTGAGGATGCTGTTGATGCTCATGCTGATTCTGCTGATGATGATGATGCTGCTGATGATGATGACGACGATGGTGATGAAACTGGTGCTGGTGCTGCTGATGAGGTTGCTGCTGATTATGATGATGTGCTGATGATGATGACGCTGATGCCGCTGATAATGCTGATCATGCTGATGACTATGATGATGACGACGACGATGATGATGATGATGCTGATGATGATGATGCTGATGATGATGCTGATGCTGATGCTGATGCTGATGCTGATGATGATGATGATGATGGTGATGGTGATGGTGATGGTGATGATGATGATGATGATGATGATGATGATGATGATGAAGATGATGATGATGATGATGATGATGATGATGATGATGATGATGATGATGATGATGATGATGATGATGATGATGATGATGATGATGATGATGATGAGATGATGATGATGATGATGATGATATGATGATGATGATGGGGAGGAGGCGGAAGAGGAGGAGGAGGAGGAGGAGGAGGAGGAGGAGGAGGAGGAGGAGCGGAAGGGAGGAGGAGGAGGAGGAGGAGGAGGAGGAGGAGGAGAAGGAGGAGGAGGAGGGCTTCGGGACTCCGCAGCGCAGGAGCGCTGCGCGGCAGCTCCGTGGTTGCCCCCGCCCCGGGCGCGCCCCGCCCGCTGTGGACCTACTGGCAGAGCCCGGCCCGCCCCGCGCTGGTGGACCTCGGGTGGCAAGAGAGGAGGAGGAGGAGGAGGAGGAGGAGGAGGAGGAGGAGGAGGAGGAGGAGGAGGAGGAGGAGGAGGAGGAGGAGGAGGAGGAGGAGGAGGAGGAGGAGGAGGAGGAGGAGGAGGAGTAGGAAGGAGGAGGAGGAGGAGGGGAGGAGAGGAGGAGGAGGAGGAGGAGGAGGAGGAGGAGGAGGAGGAGGAGGAGGAGGAGGAGGAGGAGGAGAGGAGGAGGAGGAGGAGGAGGAGGAGGAGGAGGAGGAGGAGGAGGAGGGGGAGGGGGAGGAGGAGGAGGAGGAGGAGGAGGAGGAGGAGGAGGAGGAGGAGGAGGAGGAGGAGGAGGAGGAGGAGGAGGACGGGGACGAGGACAAGGACGAGGACGAACAGGACGGGAGGGAGGTTGAAGGAAGCCGATGCTCCCCGACAGGCCATGGGCGCCCAGTGACTAGGGGGTCGGAGCAGATGGCGTCGGAGGATCGCGCCGCGTCGCCGAGGCATCCGCGATGCATCGCCGATGCGGCTCGCTGTGTGGCCCGATTTGCTTCACGCCGACGTCGTCGATGCATTGCCCACGCGGACGACGCATCGCCAGTGCATCGCCAATGCATCGCCGATGCATCGCCGATGCGGCGCGATCCTCCTCTAGGAGGCCTCTAAAGAGATGGGGTTCAGTGCAAATGGGTGTAAGTCAGAGCACCGGATCTTGCAGGATCCTGTAGAGCCAGGGCTGCATTGACCCGGGCTTGGGTGCTGGATTGAACCAGGTCAGTGCGTCCCCGAGGACCTGTGCGTCCAGACGCTGCGCAGCCGCGCCGGGCCTGGCTGGGAGGCGTCGCCGCCGCATAACCAGGGCCCCCTCTCGCGCTGTGAACTCACCACGGAAGGTGTTTCATTATTCTCGGCCTCCAGGGGCCCTCACCGGGCCTCGGGTCCATCAAAAATATATTTAGGATGAAAACCGGTCCCCAGGAAGAGGTCCAGACCTCTGGAAGTCGGCGTTGCGAAGAAAACACGACGTCGGTGGATCTTGGTCCTACCCCCCTCAAGGGGCTCATGTCGATTCCTCCGACTCGTTTCGATTCGGTTTCGATTCAGATGCCGATCCCGATTCGATTGGACTTCGGATGCCGATGTGGATTTCGGTGTTTGAGTGGATGCCAAACCAGCGAACTAGCCTACCGATTGCCGTCGATTCGACTTCTCCCGACTTGGCTCCCGATTTCTGCCGATCCGATCCATGTCGATCGCCGATCCGACTTGTCGATTCGATTCTGGGCTCTCCTGCCTGGAATTTCGAGCTGGGATCGGCAACGTCATCGGCGCTGGACCCCTCGATAGCGAATCCGGTCGTCGTCGTCATCGTCCTCGTCCTCATCTTCGTCGTCGTCGTCGCCGTCGTCGTCGTCGTCGTCGTCGTCGCCACCCTCTCGGCTGCACGGGGCTCGGAGTTCGAGGTTTGCGGGCGTCCGCCGTCGGTCCTCGGCGGTTTCCGTCTCCTCGGCGGTACCTTCCAGCAGCTGCACCCTCGCCGACAGCGTTCCCGGGGGGGCGCCCGCATCGCCCCCAGGGGCCGCCGGACCCTTGAGCTGGGGCCCGAAAGCCGGGGCGCGACGTGGACTAATTGGGGGGGAGCAGGTTGGCGGAGGGGGTGCATTCCAATCCCAGTCGTGGCGGCGAGCGAGGGGGGGAAGCGAGAAGGAGGAGGCCTGCTCAGAAGGCGGCGTCTGAGAAGTCTTTCCCAACCATCCTGTGGTGTTGGGTCCTCGTTGTGAAGAGACAGCGCCGCGCGTCCCTCCTCCTCTCCTCCCCCTCCTCCCTCACCCCTCCCATCATCATCAGTATCAGCATCGTCATCGTCATCGTGGTCTTCGTCATCATCATCAGCATCATCATCATCATCAGCAGCATCATCATCATCATCATTATCATTATCATTATCATTATCATTATCATCATCAAATACATGTCCATCATCATCATCATCATCATCATCAGCATCATCATCATCATCATCATCATTATCACTATAAGCATCATCATCCTCCGCATCATCATCCTTATCATCATCCTCATCCTCCTCCGCCTCCTCCTCCGTAGCCATTTTGGCTCAAGTCCGTAGCGGTGGCTCAGGGTCCTGCAGCGGACGAGAGTATTGTGGCAAGGGGGCGTCTCAGAGACGCACGCGGCCCCAACAGCTCATATCTGTGTATTGTATTGGGGCTCGCCCCAAGTTTTGACACAGTTACGGCACGCAGATGGTTGTGCAGCGCCATGCGCCGTGGCACAATAAGTTTATCTACAACCCTTGGACCAAGGGCAATGGAAATGGAAAAGGACGGAACGATGATGATGACCTGTGGCACGGTTACCCACCTTTGCCGAGAGGGCAGCCGTCCTACCAGCCCAGCAACGGTACGTTCGGGTCTGGTTGGTGGGGGAACCGTAAAGGGCGGCCCATGGTGGAGTGCAGCAGTTGCGGCAGAAAACTCTTCCAGGACCGTCTCAAGTCGAAGAATTGGACGTGTGTGTGTGGGTGTCAGTTTTCTGATGATGATGTTGTTTCTCCTCATCCTGGGCGGCCTCGTGGCGGTGGGCAGCAGCTGGCCCAAAGCGAATCTCCCGCAGCACAGTTTCGCCGACTGGCCGCGCTTCTGCCTGAACGGGTCCGAGGGGCGGCGCAGGGGATCTTGCAAGAGCTGGATGCGCCCGCCCCCAAGCCACCGCTGCAGCCAGGACAAGGACTGCAGCAGGCCACTGCCCGTGTCAACAGAGCCAGGAAGCAGTTGGACAAGGTCAAGGCTGCGTGGATCCGCCACAAACGGGACTTGGAGAAGAGCGAGAATGATCTCAAAGAGGCCACTGAGGAGGTACACCGCGCCGAGCGAGAGGAGATTGCAGCTGCCAAGCAGTTCCTCCCTCAGCTCCCGTCGAAGGCGGCGGCCACCGTCGACGTGCAGCAGGTCCTGGACGGCAAACTGGACCTGGAGATCAACTTCGAGTCGCTGTCAGGTCTCGAGGTGCAGGAGGATGACCTCAAGGTGCTGGACGAGGCCAAGCAGCAGCTGCAGAAGGCACTGTCCGAGGCAGTCCAGGCGTCGCACGGGGCCCTGCAGGCGAAGATCGACGAGCATAAGTCGCGTCTCGCTGACGTCGTGGAGCGGGCACGGAAGAAGCGGAAGGCGCCAGAGGCTCCAGCGGAAGCTGGGGCAGCTGGCTCAGGAGGTGGGGCACCAGCATCAGCGCCGTCTCCCCCAGGCCCTGACCCAGGAGATGGCCAGAGGCCGCCTCCCCAGCCCGCTGCAGCTGGAGGAAGCGGCAGCCTGGACCCACAGCAGGCCCGCCTCGAGCGCGAGGTGGAGGCCTTGGTGGGGGGCTACAAGGCCAGCGCGGGACAGGGAGGGGGGACGTGTTCCTGATGTTGGGGCCCATGATGTGAAGAGCTTGTACATGCGCAATCTCTCTGGATGGGGCTACCCGACCAAGGGGCTGCTGAAGGAGAGGGCTCACGATATTCTCATATTTCCAGAACTTCATCGCCTGCCAGAAGAGTGTCATGAGGTCCTACATGAGTGGGACAGAGCTGGTTACCAAGCCTTGGTGGCCCCATCGTACCAAGCTCACGGAGTGAAGCGAGCAGCAGGCATCTCGGCAGGAGTCTTGAAGCGGTACCAGTTCCAGACGTTTCGCCATCTGTCCAACAAGCAGGACCAGCAGATGGGACTCAGGAAGTTAGACGAGCCAGATTTCACCAAGCAGCGGGGGATAGACTTCAAGGACCTGGTAGCGTTCCAGCTGAAGATTGGAGGCCAGGCCGTCACGATCATCGGAGTTTATCTCACTGCAGGCATAGGTATGACTGGCACCAACATTGACAAGCTCATCCAGATGGGCCAGCTGATACAGTGCCTGCGCACGCCTTGGCTGGCCATAGGAGATTTCAATGCTGAGCCGCAGGAGTTAGTCAAGGTGGGCTGGCCCAAGCTTGTCGATGGCATCATTCGCACAGCTGATGGAGCAGATTATACTTGTACTTTGGGAAAGAAGAGACTGATAGATTTCATGGTGTTATCGGAATCAATGGTAAGGTTCGTTGATAGCTTCAAGGTGGACGACACGGCATGTTTCGAAGGAGGTAAAGCACACTTTGGTCTGCATCTCAGTCTGAGGTTGAAACTCGATCAAGCTTGGAGGTGGGTGCTTCAGTTACCCGAACGATTTGTCTATCCGCCAGTGCCCAAGAAGCAGAAGGACCCCACCAGCAAGCGCTCGAGGAAGCTGAAGTTGAAGCAGGCAGAGACAGCACAGCCTGAGGTTCCAGCACCACCAGTGCCACTACGACGCAAAGTGATTGGATTCAAGATGCCGCCACCAGTCATCTACCTCACTAATGAGGATTGGGGAATCGAGTATGATGAAGCTTGTGACGAGCAACCAGATGAGCCAAATGAAGAACCCCAGGAACCAGGAGAGCCTGAGGCCGACGAGGAGTTCGAGGGGGAAGCTGCTGCAAATCCTGGGCAGAGCCGAGGTTCGGACGTCGCCATGTCGCAGGATGCGGATGGTCACCCCTTGCTCACGATCGGTCAGGAACAGCAAAATCACCTGTGGGAAGCTCTGCGGCATCCAGTGGGCCCCGCGAAGGTGCCCAGCTACGTGAAGGACTCGTTCGCATTCAACCTGGACGTGGACGCGGCCATGCACGTAGGAGCAGCCTTCGCAGGTTGGGTTGCACGCTTTGAGGGTTTTTTCTGTGCTATGCTAGATGTGCATCCGAAAGATCAGCAGAGATTTAAGGGCCGTGCGGTTTTAAAGGAATTGCAGAAAAGACCCGAGGCCCAGGGTGCCCATTTCGTGTCGTCTCGGGATCCGGTGGCCCATTGGTGGGCCACGGTGAGTTTTCTGCTCTCGGATCTTGTGGGTTTCCTGGACGACCGAACCAAGCACAGGCCAAGTAGGCTCTTTGACAGACTCAGGGATATGGCAGCATCAACGCCTGTTTCTGCCACGCTGCCTCTCCCTGCTAGAACTCGCGCTGAATGGGTCCGTGGCTTACGAGTTCTCAGAGAAGCTTCGGACCAGACGATCAGAGATTTCGAAGTTAGAGCCAAGCAGAATTCGGTGCGAGCGCAGAGAGCTGTTTTGAACAATACCCTAACCTATTTCCACCAGTGGGTTATGCAGCAGGACCAGGCTGGAGGTCGAGGTCTGTATAACCGTATAAGGGATAAGTCGGTGTTTGTGGGGGAGGTTAGGGCTCGGGGGGAGACGGCTCTGGACTCTTGTCAGAGGATGGCCGTGAAGGCCGATATCTGGTCTCGCAAGTGGGCAGGAGACAGCTTGAGTTTTCCCAGGGTCCGAGCTCTTTGGCAGAAGGCCCAGGCCAGGGCCAAGCAGAACCCACGGCCCCCGCTTGGAGCCGACTGGCTTCGTAGGGTCATCTCAGCCCTGCCTGAAAAAGCTCCTGGTGTAGATAGACTGTCCAAGAAAGATTTCCAGTGGTTGCCGCCGCTGGGACTGCAACAGCTGGCGGATTTCTATAACCTAGTGGAGCAAAGGGTCTGCTGGCCTTGGCAGGCGCTAGTAGTTTTAGTCACGCTCCAGGTCAAAGACGAGGATTCCGACCGAGCGATTGGCCTGCTGGCTTGGATAGTCCGCTTCTGGGGGCGATTGCGAACCTCGGACCGAGCTGGTTGGACCAAGGAGCGAGCAGGGCCGTGGGACACGGCCCTTGCAGGAAACTCGGCCCTGCAGGCCGCGCTGCTCAGATTGTTCAGGGATGAGCAGGCTGCTCACTCTAGTCTGCCAGACCACCAGAGCGCGAGTCTGCTCTGGGACGTAAAAGGTTTCTATGACAGCCTCCGCTGGGATCTTGTCCTGGACCACGCTTTAGAGCTTGATTTTCCTCCTTGCTATTTGGCCCTGGAGCTCCAGGTCCACATGGCTGCCAGGTTTTTGAGAGAGGCTGGAGGTTTTTCGCTTGCGGTGCAGCCAGGAATGTCCTTGATCCCAGGCAGCAGTGGTGCAGTTGACCTAGGTAGAGCTGCTCTGCATTTCGTTTGCAGTAAGATAGCCACGGGCAGACCTCTACCAACACTGCACACCTGGGTAGATGACGTAGTGCAATGCATGTATGGTGACAGTGAGAGAGTCTTTTGTGAGCTCTCAAAGGTGGGCCTGGAATTGGTCCACGGCCTGCGCGCGATTAAACTCCAGATTGCTCCAAAGTCGGCCATCATTTCGTCCTCGGGTCCCTTGGCTGCGAGACTCAAGGATTTCTTCGGCGATCAGGGAGTGCGCGTGCAGGCCAAGCGTGTAGCTGCAGATCTAGGCATCGACCGAGGCCGAGTCAGCGCATCCAGGCCCAAGCAAGCCAGCAGGAGAGCCGGGGCCGAACGTAGGTTACAGCGTCTTGGCAAGCTGGCTCGGGGCAATCGTTGGTGCAAGAAATGGGCCCGAAAGATGGCCTTGACCTCGGCTTTTTCCAAAACTAGGTACTCGGATAAGGTCCATGGCACACCTCCCTCTGTCGTTCTTGGTTGGAGGCGAGCTCTTGGGAGGCTCACGGGGGGTGTCGCGAAAGGAGGGAGGTGCCTGACCACTCTGCTAGCGCTGGAGTACGGCAGACGTGACCCAGCCTTTTTCGCGATGTTTGACACGATCGAGGCCTGGTTTCAGATTTTGACCCACAGCAGTTTTGATGCTGACAAGACCCGAAGGGTCTGGAGGAAAGTCCTTGCCGAGCTTGAGCCCAAGCCAGCAGGAAAGAGATGGCGAGGCATAGGCACTCCTGTCGCTGCCACGATTGCCACTCTGCTGGACGTAGGCTGGAAACCTTGGGGTCCTTGGGCTTGGGAGAGCGACCTGGGTGAGCGGTTCGCGATTTCAGAAACCAAGCTCGGGCAAGGCAAGGTTGATCTAGCTGACCTGTTTGAAGCTCTGGCCCAGAGCAAAGAACGGCAGCTCTGGGAAGCTGCTGCAGCTAACTCGTGGAACGGGGCTGGGCTAGAGCAGGTCCCAGACCTCGCAGACTTTAAGAGGCAGCTCCGCACGCTAGCTAGGAAGGGTAAGTTTGAATGGAGGGGCATCTTGCGGGCTGTGGCCACGGGCAATAGTTGGCCACGCGCGAGGCTCCAGGAATGTGGTCTCACTCAGGACAGCTCCTGCAAAAGGTGTGGGGAGTTGGTGGAGTGTGATTTGCACAGGGCTTGGAGCTGCCCGAAGAATAATGTTTTCTCTAAGGTCTCTGATTTCGTACGGAGACGAGCGTTAGTTGATTGCGAGAATAATCCCAGCTTCTGGCTGCGAGGGCTGACGCCTAGCAGCTGGACCGCCGCGCCCCCTCCCCCCGACGGTGAGGAGTACCAGACCTACGGGGGGGACTTGAGGGAGGCGGTGGTGGATGGTTTCGTTTTCGGTGGAGGAGATGCCAGCGGGGGGCCTGACACCCAGGACCCAGCCCTCCGTAGAGTCGCCTGGTCTTGGGTTGTTTTCCAGGGCATCCGAGAGGGGTGTGTTTATGACCCTAGTGAGCTCCAGGCCCAGACAGTCATGTTTGGGAATGTGCCTGGATGGAGGCAGTCAGTCAACAGGGGGGAAGCTCTCAGTTTCCTTCAGTTTCTCAAAGCTGTCCTCCCTGTTGCGGATGCCTTCTTTGTGACGGACTCCAGTTATGTTGTAAAGAATTTCAGCAAAGTCCGATTGGGGATCGACCCCAAGTCTCATCTTGACGTGTGGCAGGCTGTCAAACTTTTGCTGGCTGAGCATCCGACCAGATCTGTGGTGCTAGCCAAGGTTGAAAGCCACCGTAGGGTAGAAGATGTCAGCGACCAGGGAACCGACCCCTTGTTTTTTCTGTTGAATGATCTTGCTGACCGAATAGCGGACCAGTGGGCTAAAGATATTAGAGTCTCACACGCTGTCAGGGACACCAGGTCCCATGCCCAGTCGATTGCTTTCCAGGTCCGCCAGCACCTCGGTCATAGTCTTTTGGCCTCCATCGAGGCCGATGGTTTCCGTACTCCTAGTGAATCGGTCTTGCGACCGAAGAGGAGGGAGATAAAAACCCAGCTGCTCTTGACTGCTCACCAGCCAGTTTGGGGGATAGGTTCCCAGGTCCGCTGTCACTGCTGTGGAGGTTGCGCGCCATACAAGATGGCCGACAAGTTTTTGGCCACCCCCTGCCACCAGGGCCTTTTTAGGGGTATGATTATGGTGCCAACTAAGAGCACCGTGAACGGCAAGGACCTGCACAGCTCCCACACCTTGGCTTATCACAAGGAGTTCGGGAGCACGGTATGTCTTTCTTGTGGCTGTGTAGCCACTCAGGCCGTCAGGAAATTAGCTGGTCCTTGTACGACCAAGCTGAATGTGTATGGCAGGCAGCAAGTGAGGAGGTTGCAGCAAGGCCTGCCACCAGGTACCTCGAAGCTTGCCCAGACACAGCTGGCCCAGAAGAAGGCCTTGCGATAAACCGTTCAACTCTGCCTCTGGCTGGAAGGAACAAAAAAACTCCTCCGCCTCCTCCTCCTCATCATCATCATCCTCATCGTCATCATCATCATCATCATCAGCATCAGCATCAGCATCATCACCATCATCGTCACAATCACCATCATCGTCATTGTCTTCGTCACAATCCTCACACGGTCGTGGCCCCATTAGGAGCTCCACCCAAGGTCCCAGTGGCGCAGTCTGCATGGCGGCGCCGCCCTAGCACACCCCTCACACGTTTCGTGGCCCGTAGGGAGCTCCACCTGGGGTCCCGGTGGCGCAGTCCGCATGGCGGCGCCGCCCCATTTTGGCACATCCCTCACACGTTTCGTGGCCCCGCAGGGAGGCCAACCTGGGGTCCCAGTGGCGCAGTCCGCATGGCGGCCGCCCTATTTTGGCAAACCCCTCATACGCTTCGTGACCCCATAGGGTGCTCCACCGAAGGTCCATTGGCGCAGTCCGCAAGGCGGCACCGCCACATTAGGCACACGCCTCACACGTTTCGTGGCACCATTGGAAGCTCCACCGAAGGTCCCAATGGCGCAGTTCGCATGGCAGCGCCGCCCCATTGTGGCACACCCCTCACACGTTTCGTGGCCCCATGGGGAGTTCCATCTAAGGTCCCAGTGGCGCAATCCGCATGGCGCCGCCGCCCCATTTTAGCACACCCCTCACACGTTTCGTGGCCCCGTAGGGAGCTCCACCTGGGGTCCCAGTGGCGCAGTCCGCATGGCGCCGCCGCCCCATTTTGGCACACTCCTCACACGTTTCGTGGCCCCATGGGGAGTTTCATCTGAGGTCCCAGTGGCGCAATCCGCATGGCGCCGCCGCCCCATTTTAGCACACCCCTCACACGTTTCGTGGCCCCGTAGGGAGCTCCACCTGGGGTCCCAGTGGCGCAGTCCGCATGGCGGCGCCGCCCCATTTTGGCGAACCCCTTACACGTTTCGTGACCCCATAGGGAGTTCCACCGAAGGTCCCAGTGGCGCAGTCCGCAAGGTGGCACCGCCCCATGTTGGCACACGCCTCACACGTTTCGTGGCACCATTGGAAGCTCCACCGAAGGTCCCAGTGGCGCAGTTCGCATGGCGGCGCCGCCCCATTGTGGCACACGCCTCACACGTTTCGTGTCCCAGTGGCGAAGTCCGCATTGCGGTTCCGCCCTATTTTGGCACACCCTTCACACGTCTCGTGGCCGCGCAGGGAGCTCCGCCTTGCTCCTCCTCTACCCCCGTCGCGGGGCGCATTGCCGATCGAAGTATGCTTGCAATTCACTTGGTCACGCCCGCGTTGCTTCGACACGGAGTGCTTGCTCTGCTCACACGGTTTCGGACGATCGCACGTAGGTCGTCGGCGTAAAGGGACAGGACCTTCGGGAAATGTTTGGAATGGTGTGATGCGCTCGTTGGAGCGTTCGCTTTGCGCGCGCCATTCTCGCCGCTCGCCCCTCGCACGTTTCGTGGCCCCACAGGGAGCTTCACCGAAGGCCCCAGTGGGAGCGCCCGCATGGCGTCCCCGCCCCATTTCGGCACACCCCTCACACGTTTTGTGGCCCCACAAACTACCTGCATACATAGGTCATGGTAATGAATGAACGTGCGTTATGAAAACAAATGATTGAACAAAAACGATGACTTGCTAAAGCGAGACACGAACACGGATGTGTTAAATTGCGCCGCCGAATCAGCACAAGACAAACCATCATTCAGTAAACGCAGAAGCCGGTTTACTGAATTCAAAAGCGGATGTTCTAAATCTGGGGTTGTCTTTCTCAATCCCAGATCCTATCATTACCAGGACCTGAGTGGCTCGATCAATAAAGAGGGCTTTAGATCAGGCCCCTATAGCAGCACCCTCATTGCGGCCCCGCCCCATTTCGGCACACTCTTCGCGCGCTTCGTGGCCCCATAAGGAGATCCTCTGAAGGCGATACTAACAACGACGTTATTCACAACTGCATACATGTTTGGATCCTTCGCCAGGCTATTTTTTTGTCTTTTCGGGGAAGGCTCAGAAAACTTCTAAGAAGGCCGTCTGAGAAGGCCTTCTCCTTCTCACCTCCCCCCAGGGCTCGCCGCCGACAATCGCCCATGCATCGCCGGTCTTTGCCTTAAGTACGGTCGGGACTTCGGGTAAGAGGTGGCCCAGCACTGGTTCCAACGGAGGGCTAGGGTCGAGGCTTTGGGTTGCAGGAGGTTTTTGGCATCTTTTCGCTCCCAGTGGGCCGTTTTTGGGCCTGGGGACAGTCAGAAACGGATCCGGGGTCAGAACCTGCACAAGATGGACCCCAGGAGGGGACCTGGGACCGATTCTGAGCGGATTTGGCTTCCATCCCCCCTCCTGGTCGATTTTGTGGGGTCCGAAATAGCTCAGACCCCGCGGCGGCCGCCTAGTGATCAGCGTCATCTGGTTCTGGAATCGGCGATCCATCGCCGATAATGAGGTCGGCAACAGGTCCCCGATAGCCGGACCGCACGCTTCTGGGCGGGGTGCGCTACGGTCGGCAATTTTGGCTCAGCGTGTCGCTCCGCCAGCTCTGGCACACCACGCTGCCCCCGTTCCCAAGCATAAGCATCCCCTTCCCAGCCTCCCGTCCCCATCTACCTCCGGGTCCCGAGGCGTCAAACCCTCGAGCTTTCTCGAGCCCCCCTCCCCGCGGAGCAGAGCGACACGCTATCCATTCGCAGGGCATGGCGTCTCAGCGGGGCCGCCGTGGCGACACGAGATCCAAAAGTTCTCGACCGTACTTCGGGCAATATCGGCGATACATAGAGGATTGTCGACGGCGAACCCAGGGGGGAGGTGAGAAGGAGAAGGCCTTCTCAGAAGGCCGTCTGAGAAGTGTTCTAAGCCTTACCCGAGCACGCAAACAAAAACTTCTCGGAAGGCGCGGGGGCTTCGGAGAAGTCTCGCCGCCTTCTGAGAAGGCCTCTTCCCTCTCGCTTCCCCCCTTCGCTCGCCGCCGAGAGTGGCATGCATCCACCCAATTCACGTCGCGCCCCTGGCTTCCGGGCCCCAGCTCGAGGGTCCGGCGGCCCCTGGGGGCGATGCGGGCGCCCCCCGGGAACGCTGTCGGCGAGGTGCAGCTGCGGGAAGGCACCCCGAGGAGGCAGAACCGCCGAGGACCGACGGCGAACGCCCGCAAACCTCGAACTCCGAGCCCGTGCAGCCGCGAGGGCGGCGACGACGACGACGACGACGACGACAAGGACGACGACGACGACGACGACGACGGCGGCGGCGACGACGACGACGACGACGACGACGACGACGACGGCGACGACGACGGCGTAGACGACGACGACGACGACGGCGGCGGCGACGACGACGACGACGACGACGACGACGGCGGCGGCGGCGGCGGCGGCGGCCGCGGCGACCTGCTCCCCTGCGCGCGCTAGGGGAGGAGAGGCTCAGAGGGGACGCGTCGAACCCCAATCGCCCAATGATTGCCGGGATGGGGCTGGATGGCTTGCGCCCCGCCCAGGGACGCCCGGACTCGCTGCGGGGGGCCGGCGCGGATCTCTCGGCGACGCATCGCCGATCCCAGCTCGACGTGTCCCTGCGCCTGCCCCCCCCTCCCTCCCTACGGTTAAGTCGGGCCTGTCCATCTCTACAGGGGGAACATTCAGAAATAGTTTTTAAAAATATAGTCTGGGGAATAGTTTTTGACAATGTTTGAGCTTTTTGGGTGTATGTTTTGGGGTATGTTTGATTTTTCGCCCAAAATCCCCCTGTAGGGGGACAGGCCCGACCTAACCCTACAGTAGGGGACGTTGGCTGGCGTGTCGCTCTGCGCCCACCACGCTGCGTCGCGACATTCTATCCATACCCTGGGCCCCCGGCGTGTGCGATCCGAGCTCGCCCGAGCTTCCCGCCCCGGCGGAGCGCAGCGACGCGCTGTGTCCGCTTCCGGGGCACAGCGCGTCGCTGGGGCCGCCGCCGCGACACGCTAGGCTTAAATCGGGCATGTCCCTGAGGGACAGTCCCTCTACAGGAGGAATATTTAAAAACACATTACAAAAAAATAGCCGGCGGACGATGTTTCTATCATTTGTACTTTCTATTTTGGAATCTGTTGTGGTTTAAGTATTTTCTATGTCTCGCCCCAAAATCCGCCTGGAGGAGGACATGCCCGACCTGACGCTAAGCACAAGTTCCCGACCCTAACGCTGCCCCTCGGAGGTGCACGTCCTCTCGCGGCGCACGGCGCTGGAGCGCGTGGCGGCCAGCGACCTCCCCCCGGCCTTCGGGCGGATGCGGCCGAGCTTCCAGGCGGACGCGCTCCGCCTGGCCCTGCTGCGGCGGCACCTCTCAGGAGAGAAAGAAACACACAGACACAATGAATCGCCGACTCCCAGGAAAATATAGGGAAATATGGGAAGTGGGGGGGAAGACAAAAACCAAGAAAATATGGGAAAACATTGAGAATCCTGTTATTTGTGTGTATTTATTTGTGTGTCCCAGGGTCCCTTCAACCTTGGGGGGAAGGGCATGCACCGGAGGGCGCCAACTGTGACGGGCCGGTGTTTCCAGCGAAGACCCCTGCCAAGAGGCAGCCTGCTTGCTTCCAGGGTGCCCTGGGTTCCCTGGGTTTCGATGGTTTTGCCATGGGGAGCGAGGCGCTCCCACGCCACAAAAACGATCAATGGACTTCCTGGGGTCTCAGGGCTGGGTTTCTTGTGGCAGGTTCCTTGTGGTCGAGCCCCTACTGTGCACCGGAGGGCGCCAACTATACACTGGCACCGATTCTGGACAGGCCGATGTGCCTTCCTGCCCTGGAGCCAGAAGAACGCCCAGGATGGGCCTGGTCAGGATCGGCGTGCGTGTATAATTCGCCAGCGCCTTCCCATACTACAGCCGAGATGCTGAAATAAGCAGCAGTTCGGGCTCTGAAGGGGATCGCTGTTCCTTCCGGTCGCGAGCGTTTGCGTAGCATAGCGCGCCGCCGGTTCGGGCCCACCACGCCTCCGCGCGACACGCTAGTCAAGTCCTGGTCCCCGAGCGTCAATGTTCCGAGCCTCTCCCTGCCTCCCGCCCCGCGGAGCGGAGCGACACGCTACCCGCTTGCAGGGTACCATAGCGTGTCGCTGGGTCTGCCGCCGCGACGCTCTAAGGAAGAGTTCCCGACCACAGGTCTTTCCATGGTGTTTCCCCTGGCGCTCCTCGTGCACCCGGGCGCTACTGGGGCCCCGGAAAGGGGCCCCGTGCCTCATTCAGAATCCTTTGCGGCAGTAGCTTGTGCTTTGTGCTGGGCCGATGCCGACGCTCATCCTTCCTCATTCTCGCCTCCTGTCCTCCCTCCCAGGCCCTTTATCAGTGCCGCCGCTCTCCCCTGGGCCCCGGGGCCCCTCCTGGTCGCCACGGCGAGGTCCGCCGCGGGAGAGGAACATGCGGGGCGTGCCGTCCGCGCGTCGCGCAAGAGAGCGGCCTTTCCAGAGGTGCTCACGGGATGTCCTTGGCATCGCTCGGACGTGTGCATGTTTTCCTCGGCGAGGACCATCGAGGAGCATCCTTGATCACTTGGCGAAAAAACCGCGCACGAAACCGAAAAAAAAACACAGGGAATGGACGTCCGAGCGATGGCCAGTGTCCGAGGGGGCCCACTGGGCAGGCTCCCCACGGGGGCGCTCGGGGGCGGCATGTCCAGGGCCAGGGGGCGCCTCCAGAAACACCGCCGTGCCCCGCCGCTCCGCCCCGTGGGCTCCTGCTTGCGGCCCCAGGGCCCCCGGCGTCCTGCTTGTTTCGGCACGGCGACCCCTGGAGGTCTCGAGCCATTCCCCTGGACCCGCTTTTCATCCCGAGTCGTTTTTTGACGGTCCCGAGGGCCGGTACGGGCCCCTGGGGGCCGAAAGCAGCACAAAACCTCCCGTCATGTTTTTGTCATGGCCCGAGGGGGTCTGGGCCCCAGGCACGGGGGCATGTGGGTCGACGCGACGACGATCGCCGTGCGCAACTTCTCGGAGTGGGTCGGGCAGGCGCTCGACGGCGGCAGCGGCTTCTACGGCTTCTACATCGAGCACTACACGGCTCCAGAGGGCCCGCCGCTCGTCCGGGAGACCCCCAAACAAGTCACAGACCCAACATTCGTCTGATTCCCGCGCGGGCTTCCTGGCGGGGTCTCAAAGTGGCAAGATGTCAGGAGAATGCTACGTTCCAGGATTCCCGAGATTACCATGACTCACAGATCCCCCGTGCATGTGTCCACGTGTGCTGTAGAAGCGAGGGCCGCTAGATACTCCTGGAACGCCTGGAGCGCATCCTGAGCCAGTCCTGCCATTCGGCGGCGAGCGAGGGGGGGGGAAGTGAGAAGGAGAGGGAGCCTATGCAGAAAGGGGTGGAACTTCTCAGAAGCCCTTGCGCCTTCTGCAGCGTCTTCTGCGCCTCCGGGCAAGGCTTGGAACACCTCTCAGAAGGCCGGGGGGGACGTCCGAGCCTTCCGGGAAGGCCCGCCCCGTCTCCGACGCCTCGTGGTGGTGGGGCCACAGCTCGGTTCTCCAGCGGCCGTTCGGAGCGATTCGGGCACCCCCGGATCGCCCGCGGCGAGGCGCAGCTGACGGGATGCGTCCTGATGCTGGAGAAGCGCCGAGAACCAACGGGAACGTCCAAAGATCTCGAACCTCGGACCCCTCTGGAGGAGGAGGAGGAGGAGGAGGAGGAGGAGGAGGAGGAGGAGGAGGAGGAGGAGGAGAAGGAGGAGCAGGAGAGGAGGAGGAGGAGGTGGAGGATGGAGGAGGAGGAGGAGGAGGAGGAGGAGGAGGAGGAGGAGGAGGAGGACCAGTGTAACCCCAACAGTCATCAACGATGTTGGAGTAAACCTTTTCTCCAAGCTCCCTCTTCATAACCCCTACAGCGGTTCATTTCCATTGATGGAGCTGCCTCGTTGGAAGACACCCGTTGAGGACCCTGAAGCACTCCAAAATATTGTTCTCGAGACTCCAACGCCACAGATCTACTTGACTGTTGCGGCTTGACGATCCTGAATCGTGCCAGAAAGCCGTTTTTAGGATTTCACACAGAGAGTTAAAGTAACTGCTGCACCCGCATAATCCGGAATCTTTCCCAAACACCATTTCTGATACGTTGACGATGGGAATCCGTGACACTCCCGTATTTGTTATACAAATGTGCGCCGCACTAAGGCGAGAGCCACATTTTGAAAAGGAACCGCCCTCAATCCGTGAAACTCTTGCAAGTTTTACAACGAGTGTTGGCGGCGCTAAGGCGAGAGCCACATTTGAAAACCACTCGCCTCCAATCCGTGAAACTTCTCCAAGTTTCAATATTAATGCGCGCCGCGCTAAGGCGAGAGCCACATTTTGAAAACAACTCGTTCTCAATCCGTGAAGCTCTTGCAGATGTTTAAAATGAATGTGCGCCGCGCCAAGGCGAGAGCCACATTTTGAAAACGACCCGCCCTCAATTCGTGAAACTCTTGCAATTCTTAGAACGAATTTGCAACGCGCTAAGGCGAGAGCCACATTTGGAACCTCCATCTGTGAATCTTCTGCCAATTTTTAAGCTTCAGGGCCATAAATGGTTGGGAAGTCGTAGGCGAAACGCCGGGCCCGCCCTATTAACTCGCCTCGGGGTGCGACATGCAGACGTTATTCATAATGGACAGGAATGGAGGAGGAGGAGGAGGAGGAGGAGGAGGAGGAGGAGGGGAGGAGGAGGAGGAGGAGGAGGGAGGAGGAGGAGGAGGAGGAGGAGGAGGAGGAGGAGGAGGAGGAGAGGAGGAGGAGGAGGAAGAGGATAGGGAGGGAGGAGAGAGGGAGGAGGAGGGAGGAGGTAGAGGAGGAGGAGCAGGAGGAGGAGAAGAAGGAGCAGGAGGAGGAGAAGAAGGAGCAGGAGGAGGAGAAGAAGGAGCAGGAGGAGGAGGAGGAGGAGGAGGAGGAGGAGGAGGAGGAGGAAGGAAGCCTGCGCGGGCCACCGAAGCTGGAAGCTCCTGTGTCTGTTGGGGTCTCCTGCCGTCGCCAGCTGGGCCGTCGCGGTGGCCGCCCCGGAGGAGCCGCTGGTGGCCGCATGGCACGACGCGTACCTGCGGGTCTGGGCGAACCGGTCCGGGGCCGACGACATCACAACGGACCTTATCGACTACACGTAAGAGTGACCCTTCGACGGAGTGACCTTTGGTGCGGGTTCATCGGGGTCCCCCCGATCGGTGAGCGTGGTACCTTAGCGGCTGCTTGCGTGCTTAGATTCGGCTACCTTGAGCCCCCTCAGTCCGCGCACCAAAGGTCACTATTGCCTAGGGTCACTCTTGCGTGTAGCCGACCTTACCAGCCTGAAGAGCGTACCTCTAGGCCTCCTAGATGCGGAGTCGGTGGGGTCGGAGGATCGCGCCGCATCGCCGATGCCTCGGCGATGCATCGGCGACATCGGCGATGCGTCGGTGACGCCAGCGTGGAGCCGCATCGCCGATGCATCGGCGATGCGGCTCGATGTGGTGCCCGCTTTCCTCGACCCCGACGTCGCCGGTGCATGGCCGACGTCGCCGATGCATCGCCAATGCAGCAGCAATGGATGGGGATGCGGCGCGACCCTCCGACCCCATGTGCTCGGACCCCATCTGGGAGGCCTCTATATATATATATATATATATATATAATGACTGGCGTAAGCTTCTCTCGCTGCCAGCCTGGAGAAGCCCCTCCGTTCCTGAGGGCGCATCCCTGAGACTGTCCTCGCCTTTGGGCTCGCCTGTCCCGGGGACAGGGATACGCTCGAGGCTGGTCAGGACCCCTTCTTCGACGGCGCGGACCTCTCGCACGTGAGCCCCTTCATGCAGGACTACCTCAACGTGGAGCTGGTCCTGCTCGCGCTGCTGCAGCGGGGCGGCGACCTGCGCCGCCGCTTCGACAGCACCGCCACCGTGGTGACGGGAACGCCAAGCCACGCCGACACGGTGGGGGCGCTGGTCAAGGAGTGCGCCCAGGAGGCCGCAGACCCTGGAGGACTCCTTATTTATCTGATGAGGGCGGCGGCGAGATCCGTGGCCAAGCTTCGATTGGAGTTCCACTGGCCTCCAAACCCAGGGCTCCTTCTCTGAGGGTCCCTTATCAGCGCCGCTGACGGCGTCCTCATCCTGCCGCCAGTCGAGGCGCTGGCAGCTGCCTGCGGGTTTGCCTCGGCGGCGGAGGCGAGGGCCCGTGGGGCGGCGGCGCGCAGGCCGAGGGCTGCCGCTGATGCGGCGGCGGCTGCCACGCGTGCCTATAGCGCAAGATTCGGGGGCGGACAGGCCTCCTACCCTGACACGTCGATCAATAAGGAATTGGCCGTTTTCGATTCGCGAGAGGGCGTCGCGGCCGTCATTTTTGCGGGTCCAGGTCCGTCGGTTTCGGTCCCAGGCCGTTTTCACTAAGGGGAGGTTTACTAAAGGGAGGTTTGTCCACCGCCGAAAGATTGCATGAGTTTGTGTGCACGGGCTCTGCCCCCGGAGAGAGAACAAAATGCTCCCACCGTGCCGCGAACCTGGACGGGAGAGAGGTGCCTTCCGGTGACGCGGCGGACCGCTGCCGACACCGCTGCACCCAGAGAGAGAGAGAGAGGGGTCCGAGCCCCCTCCAGGGGCGCGCTCGGAGCAGCAACTCGAGGCCAGCCCGGCCGCGGCGGCGAGGGCCTCCCAGGAGGCCCCAAAAATAGGGGGCCACATGCGAACCCTACCCTTGCACTCCCCCTGAAAAATCGTGGTGGGTAGGGGCAGGGTTCGCATGTGGCCCCCTACAAAAGGCGAGGCCGAGGAGAAGACAGAGCGGTGCCCATGAAAAAATCACGACGGAAGGTTCTTTTGTTTTTCTCGGCCTCTGGGGGCCCGTACCGGCCCTCGGGACCGTACGCAAAACGGCTCAGGATGAAAAACGGGCCCAGAGGAACGGATCGGGACCTCCAGGGGTCGACGCAACGCAAAAATCGTGACGTCGGGGGTCTGGGTGTCTCGGTGTAGCTTTGCCCAGACCCCCGACGTCATGATTTGTTCACCACGTCGACACCTGGAGGTCTCGACCATTCCCCTGGACCGGTTTTGCACCCCGAGTCATTTTTGGACGGTCCCGAGGGCCTGGGAGGGCCCCAAGATGCCGAACATAGCAACAACCTCCCGTCGTGTTTTTTTCATTTCCCGATGGGGGTCTGTCGGAGGCCCAGAGGTTGACACCAACACCAATCTCGGCGATGTGCCTCCACCGAGGAAAGATGATCCCGATCTCGGTGATGGTGGTACTATTCGGGCTTCAAGGTGGCTGAAGTATTACCACCAGCACCAAAATCTAGGATCACCCTCCCCCTGGTAGAGGCAACCCTCGGCATGGGTGTTGGTGCCCATTTCTAAGCCTCCGAGTCTGGGTTTCTCCCCCCGCCGAGGTGAGCGCTGAGAGCGGGCCATACGCGATCCAGACGCGGCTGGGCATGAAGTGGTTCGGCGGCAGCAAGTGCCGCCCCGTCACGGCCAGGCTCGCGGCGCTGCCCGCCGAGCTGCGGCAGCAGCTCGCCGCGACGCCCCTGGTGAAGCTTCGCCACCAGGAATTCGTGGTGCGTGGGGGGCGGAGGAGGAGGAGGAGGAGGAGGAGGAGGAGGAGGAGGAGGAGGAGGAGGAGGCGGAGGCATGATGAGGTGGAGGAGGAGGTGGACGAGGAGGAAGATGGAGCAGGAGGAGGAGGAGGGGGAGGAGGAGGAGGAGGAGAGGGAGGAGGAGGAGGAGGAGGAGGAGAGGAGGGGAGGAGGAGGGAGGGGAGGGAGGGAGGGAGGGAGGGAGGGAGGAGGAGGGAGGGAAGGAGAGGAGGAGGGGGAGGAGGAGAGGTAGGAGGAGGAGGAGGAGAAGGAGGAGGAGTTAGTAATGGGTGATCGTGACCCTGCGAGGTGTTGGTCCCTGTCTTGGCGTGTCGCCCTGTCTCTTCCGCTCGGTGCCTTCTGCGGTCCTCGCCTCGCTCCCCTTCTGTTAAGTTTCAGGTGAGTTATGGCCAGGAACTTTGGCTCACATGCATCAGGCAACTCAACGAAAGGCGGCCACGTTCGTAGCCCTCAGAGCTCGCCCGAACTGGACCCTGAGCGTCATCTCCTTGGAGCCCCTCTTCTTCGTAGACTGTTGCTACCTGTGGACCTGGACTGACCGGCGGAGAGAACGCGTCGAGGAGTTGAGTCTTTTTGCTTCGTGCCTGCGCATCGAGTGGAGCCCGTTTTCTGTGCCCGAGCGCCCCTCAGCTCTGAGCAGGGGGGTGCGGCGTGCCGTCCACCGCGCCTTCGGCGCGACGCGCCGTCCACTCCCTGGCCCCACGACGTGAACGCCCCGAGCTGCTCCCCCGCCTCCTCCTCCTCCTCCTCCTCCTCCTCCTCCTCCTCCTTCTCTTCCTCCTCCTCCCTCCTCGCCGTCCTCCTCCTCCTCCTCCTCCTCCTCCTCCTCCTCCTCCTCTTCCTCCTCCTCCCTCCTTCGCCGTCCCTTCCTCCTCCCCTCCTCCTCCTCCTCCTCCTCCTCCTCCTCTCTCCTCCTCCTCCTCCTCCTCCTCCCCCTCCTCTTCCTCCTCCTCCCTCCTCGCCGTCCTCCCTCCTCCTCCTCCTCTCCTCCTACTCCTCCTCCTCCTCCCCTCCTGCTCCTCTCCTCCTCCTCCTCCTCCTCGCCGTACTCCCCCTCCTCCTCCTCCTCCTCCTCCTTCTCCTCCTCCTTCTCCTCCTCCTCTTCCTCCTCCTCCTCCTCCTCCTCCTCCTCCCGGCACGCGGCGCGGAGCGGCACACGCTGCAGTGGAGACCCATGCCAAGAGACACCCTGCTTGCCTTAAGTCGGGCCTGCCCCTCTACAGGAGGAATATTTAAAAGAGGCAAAGCATAGTCTGGGGATGTTTTTTTTGATTATGCTTGACCAATTGGGAGTATGTTTGCCTATTTTCTATCTTCCGTCCAAAATCCCCCTGTAGGGGGAGATGCCCGACATGATGCTTGCCTCCAGGGTGCCCTGGGCTTCTTGGGTGTCGAGGGTTTTGCGACGGAGAGAGCGTGGCGTTCCCACCCCAAACATCAGTGGACGTCCTGGGGCCTCAGGGTTGGATTTCTTGCGGAAGGTTTCTTGTGGTCGGGCCCCTGCTGTGTCTGCTCGCAGGGCACAGCGTATCGCCAGGGCAGCCGCCGCGACACGCTCAGCGACAGTTCCCGACCGTACCAGCCTGAAGCTCGGAGGAGAAAGAAGGGTACCAATACCGCTACCTTTGCCTCATTTTCGCCTTTTTGGTCCTCCTGCGAGGCCCTGCGTAGTCACCACCGCTGGATTCGCCTAGAAGTTTTAATCAGAACGCACCACAGGAGAAGATGGGGTCCGCGTAGATGGAGCCGGAGCATCGCGCCGCACTGCCGATGCATCGGCGATGCGGCTCGAGGTGGTGCCCGAATTTCTCTACCCCGCTTCGACACGCTGAGCAAATGTTCCCGACCGTAGGGCTTCCCTTGAATTCCGACCCCCGTCGTCTCGTTTTTTCATGCCGTCGATCCCCAGTGGTCTCGACTCCTTCCCCTGGGCCAGATTTTCATCCTCAGTCCTTTTTGTCACGGCCCCGACGCCCGGGAAGGGCCCCCGGAGGCCGAACACGTAGCGACGAGCCTCCCGTCGTGATTTTCTCCCGACGCGAGGGGAACGATGTGGTGCCCGAGTCCACCCCGCTTCGGCGCGCTGCGCACGAGTTCCCGGCTGTGGGCGTCCGCTGCGCCGCGTCGCCGCCTCGGTACTCCCGGCTGCTGCTCGGCCTCTGCTCCGCCGCCAGGGGGCCGCCAGGGAGGCGCCGGCCAGGGAGGTGCTTGCTCTGCATCTGTGTAAGTTGTGTGTGTGTCTCTCTACAGGAGGAAAATTCAAAGATATGCAACAAATAGTCTGGGGACGATTTCTGACAATTTAGATGATCTTTTTTGTTACTATTTTTTCCATTTTTCATCCAGAATCTCCCCTAGAGGGGGACAGACCCGACCTAGGGCAAGGAAGGTGCTTGTTTGCGTATATCGTTCCGCCGGTGATGGCCCACCGCGCTTCGGCGCTGCGCGTCTGCCGCGCCCCAGTCCCAGGCGCGCCTCCCCTGTTTGCAGGGCTCATTCTGATTTCTACGATTCGATTCGCTTCGAGTCCGATGATTTCCGATTCCGATATGCATTCCGACTTGGGATTCCGGCATTCTGAGTTCGATCCGTCTTGGGATTCCGATCAGCATTCCGATTTCTCGATGGAGGCCCCTAGCCTGCCGATTTTCCGCCGATCCCACTTTTATCGACTCGGCTGCCGACTTCCGCCGACCCGATTCATCTCGATCGCCGATCCGACTTGTCGATTCGATGCTGGGCTATCCTGCGTCGGATACCGAGCAACGGCTTCTCGGGCGCTCTTGGGCACTCCTCCTCCTCCTCCTTCTCCTCCTCCTCCTCCTCCTCCTCCTCCTCCTCGTTGCCTGTCTGTCAATCTCTGCGGAAGCTTGGCTGTGCAGTCGCCTGCAGCAAAACAAACAATACTCCTCCTCCTCCTCCTCCTCGGGGCAGTCTTGGGCCTATCCCGGGGCCTCACAGAGCCCCTCGGGCGCGCCGGGGCGAGAAGACAAGGCACGCAGATGGCCTTGACACCCCAGGTGTTAGAAGGACGTGGGCCTCCCGGAGGGGTCCTTGGGAGGATCCGTGGCCTGGACCCAGACCCCCTCGGGCAATGAAACAGTCATGGCAGGAGGTTTTCTGCTGTCTTCGGCCTCTGGGGGCCCTCACCAGCCCTCGGGACCGCCAAAAAACGAGTCGGGACGAAAAACCGGTCCAGGGGAATGGGTCGAGACCTCCAGGGGTCGACGTGATGAAAAAATTCTGACGTCGGGGGTCTGGGGAGTCTCCGTGGCCTGGAGCCGTCTTGGGGCGGTCAAGAGCTTCGCCCCGCCTCCCAGCCAGCGAGCTTCCGAAAAAGCTCCGCCACCAGGACCGCCGCATCGCTGATACATCGGCGATGCGGCTCGAGGTGGTGCCCGATTCTCTCCACCCCGCTTCGACACGCTGCGCAGAAGTTGCCGACCGTAGGGCTTGCCACTAACCCAGACCCTCGGCGTTGTGACTTCTTCATGACGTCGACACCCAGAGGTCTCGACCCCTTTTTCTGGACCAGATTTTCATCCCGAGTCATTTTTTGACGGCCCCGACGCCCGGGAAGGGCCCCCAGAGGCCGAACATAGCGACAAGCCTCCCGTCGTGATTCGTGATTTTCTCACGGCACAAGGTGGTCTTGGAACATGCGTCAAAAAACGACTCCTCCTCCTCCTCGAGCTCTTCCTCCTCCTCCTCCTCCTCCTCCTCCTCCTCCTCCTCCTCCTCCTCCTCCTCCTCCTCCTCCCCTCCTACCTCCCTCGCCTTCCTCCTCCTTGACCTCCTCGGTTTTCCTCCTCCTCCTCCCCTCCTTCCTCCTCCTCCTCCGCTCCTCCTCCTCCTCCTCCCTCCTCCTCCGCCTCCTCCTCCCCTCTCCGCCTCCTCCTCCTCCTCCTCCTCCTCCTCCTCCTCCCCTCCTCCTCCTCCTCCTCCTCCTCCTCCTCCTCCTCCCCCTCCTCGACCTCCCGCCGCCAGGACCGCCGCTTCCTCGAGCAGATGTCCGCCGCGCAGCTGCTGCGCCGGGCGGACTCGGTGCTGGGGGCCCTGCTCCTCGGCGGGGGACGGCCCCCAGCGGAGGCCGCGCCCCCCGCCCTGCTGGACGACTCGGACGAGCGCGGGGCCTGCTGAGGGCGCCTCCTCCGCCGCCTCCGCCGCCTCCGCAGGCCTCCTCCCCCTCCCTCAAGACCCCCCTCGAGGCACGAAAGAATCGCGCCGTGGAGTTTTTCACCATTTTCGGCCTCTGGGGGCCCCCACCGGCCCTCGGGACCGTCAGGAGACGAGCCGGGACGAAAATCCGGTCCAGGGGAATAGGTCGAGACCTCCAGGGGTCGACGTCATCAACAAAATCACGACGTCGGGGGTCTGGGTCCCCCTCTCCCTCCCCCCTGAGCCCCTCCTCCTCCTCCGCCCCCCCCTCCTTCCTTCTCCTTATAAAAGACTTCGGAGAGACTTCCTCACCATTTCATGACCCTGAAGCTTGAAACAGAAGGCGGGTGGTTTTCAAAATGTGGCTCTCGCCTTAGCGCTGCGCACATTCATTTTCAAAATTTGCAAGAGTTTCACGGATTGAGGGCTGGTGGTTTTCAAAATGTGGTTCTCGCCTCAGTGCCGCGCACACTCTTGTTAAACAATTGTGGAAGTTTCGCGGCGTCCCATGATCGAAGAACCATAAATTGCGTTTTGGGCGGATTCGCGATTATGAGGGCGCAACAGTCACGATGATTCGCGGTGTTGAAGTCCCAGGAATGGCGTTCTGGTGCGATTCAGGATCGTCAAGACGCAACAGTCAGGTTTACCCGTGGCGTTGGAATGCCGAGAACAATGTTTTGGCATGCTTCAGGGTCGTCAAACGGTTGTCTTCCAACGAGGCAGGTCCCTCTGTGGCAATGAACCGTGGTAGAGGCCTATGAAGAGGGAGCTTGAGGAGAAGGTTTATTCCATAACATCGTAACATCGTTGGTGACTCTTGGGTTTACACTGGTCCTCCTCCTCCTCCTCCTCCTCCTCCTCCTCCACCCCCTCCTCCTCCTCCTCCTCCTTCTCCTCCTCCTCACTTCATCCTCCTCCTCCTCCTCCTCCGCCTCCTCCTCCTCACTTTCTCCTCCTCCTCCTCCTCATCCTCCTCCTCTTCCCCCTCCCCCTCCCCCTTCCCCTTTCCCCTGCCCCCCTCGCGAGGTGAAACAAACATCGCGACGGGAGGTTCTTCGCAATCCTCGGGCTCCGGCGGGGCCCCTCCCCAGGCCGCGGGGCCGTCAGCAAAAGGACTCGGGAGGACGAGCCGTATCCCGGGAAGGGGTCCAGATTTCTGGGGGCCAGACTTCTGGGAACCGTATCCCAGGAAGGGGTCCAGACTTCTGGGGGGCCCCGTCATGAAAAATTCACGGCGTCGGGGGTTTAGGGCCCCTTTCCCTTCTTTCTCCTCCAATTTCTCCTCCGGCTTCTCTCCCTCCTCCCTGCTTCCCCCTCCTCGTCGTCGTCATCATCACCACTGACCATCGGCATTCTCCTTCTCCCCCTCCTCCTCTTCCCTCCTCGTCGTCATCATCACCACCACCGTCGTCGCCCCCCTCCTCCCCCTTCATCCCGCACCTCTCCCTCCCCGCTCTTCCCCGTCCTCCTTCTCTTCCCTCCTCCTCCTCCTTCTCCTCCTCCTCACTTTCTTCTTCTCCTCCTCCTCCTCCTCCTCCTCGTCTTCGTCCTCGTCCTCCTCCTCCTCCCCCAACCCCCCCTCCTCCTCCTCCTCCTCCTCCTCCTCCTCCTCCTCCTCCTCCTCCTCCTCCTCCTCCTTCCTCCTCCTCCTCCTCCTCCTCCTCCTCCTCCTCCTCCTCCTCCTCCTCCTCCTCCTACCCCATCAACATCCATCCCTTAGAAGTAACTCTGTCCTGCTCCGTCCTGCCGCACCCTCAGACATCCTCAGACGTGTCGGTCTGGCGGGCCTGGCTTGCTTGACAGCTCCACACCACTTCAGGGTTTGCAGTGTGAAATATGCTACGTATTCACGGATGGAGGGCGGCTCGATTTCAAAATGTGGTTCTCGCCCTAGCACCGTGAACATGTGTTTGAACAGTTTTACAGCAGCGTCAAGGACGGAGGGAGGTTCATTTTCAAAGTCTTAAATCCGCGTTGCGTGAATGTGTGCTACAAGTGTACAACAGTCTTAAGCATGCGCGGTTGTTAGTTTTCAAAACGTGGCTCTCGCTTAAGCGCCGCGCACATTTCTTTGGAACATGCTGCAGCAGTTGAAGGGCTCGTATCGTTGAATGGGGTCCCACGAATCGTGCTCTGACTCGATGTGGGACTGTCAGGACGCGGACGTCACGTTGATCTGCGACGTCGAAGTCCCAGGGTCGGCGTTCTGACGCGATTCGGGATTGACAGGAGACAACAGTTGAGTCGCCCCCCCATTGCCCCTCCGTCTTCCCTTGGTCCTCGTGCTCCTTCCGCCCCTGCCACTCCAGTTCCTGCTGCTGCTGCTGCTGCTGCTGCTGCTCGTCCTCGTCCTCCTCCTCCATTATCCTCATTGTTCTCCTGCTCATCCTCCTGCCCACTGCCACCTGCTCCCCCTCCTCCTCCTCCTCCTCCTCCTTCTCCTCCTCCTATGTACGTTGTTTTTTGATGCCGCATAACACGATGTGTTCTGCTGGAGTTCCAGGTCGGCTATGTCACGCGTCCGCGGACAGAGGCTAACTCCCCGCAGTATGGGAAGGGATGTGAGGAGGGAAAGGATGCCAGAGCTGGCGCGAGCGCACCCAGCTTGCCCTCCTCCTCCTCCTCCTCCTCCTCCTCCTCCTCCTCCTCCTCTTCTTCTCTCCCTCCTCTCTTCCCTCTCCTCCTCCCTCCATCCTTCCTGCCTCCTCCTCCTCCCCCGCCTCCCCCCTCCTGCCCCTCCTCCTCCTCCTCCTCCTCCTCCTCCTCCTCCTCTCCTCCCTCCTCCTCCTCCGGCGGCGCGAGTCCTTCCCGGGGGGGCCTGGCCCAGCAGGGCCAGGCGTGCTCCTCGAGCCCTGCGCGAAGCGCGGGGCGCCCGCGGGCGCCGCGGCCCTGCAACGCTCCGTGCCCTCCGCCCTCCCCGCCCTCGGCATCCGCCCCCTCCTCCTCCTCCTCCTCCTCCTCCTCCTCCTCCTCCTCCTCCTCCTCCTCGCCTCCTCCTCCCTCCTCCTCCTCCTCCTCCTCCTCCTCCTCCTCCTTCTCCTCCTTCTCCTTCCGCCTTCTCCGCCCTCGGCCTCCGCCCTCTCCTCCCCTGGCATCGCTCGGACGTGCGCACTTTGTGCTCGGCGAGGACCACCGAGGAGCATGCTGGATCATGGAGCAGCAGAGGACACGCACGAGACCGAGCAGGTGCACGGGGAGTGGGCGTCCGAGCGGCGGCGAGCATCCCTCTGACAGGGTCAAACGGGGCTTGTCGAGTGGAGCAGTCGATTCGACGCTCGAAGGCCCCGAGGCCCAGGTCGTCTAGGCAAGCTGGCTACTGAACTTGCTCCCGCAGCGGTGCCCACTCCACTCCACTCCACCCCACTCCACCCCACTCCACTCCACCCCACTGCACTCCACCCCACTCCACTCCACTCCACTCCACTCCACCCCGCCCCACTCCACTCCACTCCACTCCACTCCACTCCACCCCACTCCACTCCATCCCACTCGGCGGCGCGCCAGGGGGGGGGCCGTGAGAGGGGGGGGGGCCTTCTCAGCGGGCTCGGGAGGCCTCGGGCCTCCTGCGAAGCCTTCAGGAGACCCTCCCGGAAGGTGCCGGACGCTCCTCAGAAGGCCGGAGGGCCTCTGAGGAGGCCCGTCGCCCTTCCGAGGAGGCCCGCCGCCCTTCGGAGGAGGCCCCGCCGCCCTTCCGTGGCGAGAGGGCCCGCCCCTTGCCACTTGCCCCCCCCCCCCCTCCGCGGGCGCGCCGCCGCTGCGCACCCCTCAGAGGACGCGCAATGGCGGGGGCGATCCCGGGGGGGAGGGGCGGCAGCGAGGGCGGCCCCAAAGAGGGGCCCTCTGGGGCCCCTGGGATTAAGTCGGGCCTGTCCCCCTACAGGGGGAAGATGCAAGAATATTCACACATCGTATGGGGACGATTGTTTTGAGTTTTTGTTTTGCATTTTTGTTGGATGTGTTTTATTTGTCGTCCAAAATCCGCCTGTAGGAGGACACGCCCGACCTAACCCTTGGAAAAGGGGGCACTCAGGGCCCGAGAGATCGGGGGCCTTCTGTAAAGCACCAAAAGGGAACTTTCCCCCCCGCCCCCCCCCCCTGTTATCGCTCCCCCTTTCCTTCGCGCCCAATCCACTCCTCGCCAAATCGGGCTCAATCCCGCTTGATCCCGCTTTCTTAATCCCGCTCTACCACGCTGAACCCCTGCCTCATGTGGTGCAGCTGCCCCCCCAGCCGGGCTTATCATCCTCCCTGTGATCCTTCCGGCGAAGGCCTCCCAGCAGTTGCCCCCCCCCCCCCCCCCCCCCTAAGACCCCCGTCGTGGTGATTCTTTCACAGCGCCGATCCCCAAAGGTCTGGCCCCCGTTCCCCGGGACCAGTTCTTCATCCCGAATTCGGGAGCCTCGAGACGGGGGTCAAGGCAAGCGGGGGTCAGCCAGGGCACCAGATCCTGCAGGATCCTGCGAAGACCCCCTCTGGCTGACCCGGGTGAGCGAGCCGCTCGTCGCCGCGAGGCGGCCGCGCGCATTGGCTGACCCGGGTTTGCGAAGACCCGCGTTACAGGCTCTTAGAGTTCAGTCGGGCCTGTCCCTCTACAGAGGGGATGTTCAAAAATAGTCCAACAATGGTCAGGAGACCATTTTTTTGAGTATCTGTTGAAAGCAGTTGGAGGTCTTTTTGAACTATTTTTGATGTTTCGTCCAAACCCCCTGCAGGAGGGCAGGCCCGACGTAATCTTAGAGCGAGCCGACGCTCCGGAGCAGAGGGGCGGGCGGCTGATGGCCGGCCTCGGCCTCGCGGGGGGCCCTCGCCGGGGCCCGGGAGCGTCGAGCAGCGGCTCGGGGCGAGAAGGTGCTCGTGTGTCTTGTGCGTTGTTTGGCCGATCGGCGCGGGCCCTCGCACGCAGCCCCCTCCCCCCCCCGCATGTGAGTCGGGCCTGTCCCTCTACAGGGAGAACAACAAATGGTCAAACAATTAGTCGGGGGTATATGTTTTACAATGTTTGGGCATTTTTCTTGTATTTTTTTAGGCATTTTCCATTTTTCGCCCAAAATCTCCCTGTAGGGGGACAAGCCCGACTTAAGAGTAGATCTTGGCTGTTTTGGTGGCGCCTGTTTCGAGCAGGTGGGGTCTCCCCCATCGGGCGCACTGCTGGAGACAGTCGCACTGAGCAGAGGTCCGGAGCCAGACCCCTCCCGCCCCCCCCCCCTTCCACCCAAGGTCGAAGCGCCGGATAAGACAACGCCCGCAGGCCGGCCCTCTATCGGAGGTGGAAAGACCTCCTACCCTGACACGTCGATTAAGGAAATGGCCGTTGTCGGTTCGCGAGAGGGCGTCGCGGCCGTCATTTTTGCGGGTCCAGGTCCGTCGGTTTCGGTCCCAGGCCGTTTTCATTAAGGGGAGGGTTATTAAAGGGAGGTTTGCCCACCGCCGACTCTAGGGGGGAAGTGGGTCGGACCTGCAGGGCCCACGCAGCGACAGCGTTGGAGCGGCGGGAGGTCTGGGCAGGCCCCCCCCCGCGTGAGGAAAGCACGAGACATCACGACGCGTCGGGTGCCCGGCTGCTCTTAAGCGGCCTCCGCGGGCCCCTTGCTGGGCGTCGGGGCCGTCACGAGGGTGTTTCTTAGACTCCGGCGAGTTGACTTCGCATGGCCGGAGGGGCGGGGCTTGAACCCGAGGTACGCCGCAAGCGACCGGCACGTGGGGAAACCGCGCGAGCAAGTCGAAAGGCACTTGCACGCCAGTGTTCGTCCGAAGAGGGGCGAGGGGGGTGGGTGGGTGGTGTGGGGGGGGGGGGGCGGGCGGGGGGCGAACGCCATGCAAGCCAACTTGCATACGAATCTGTCAGGAAAGCAGGCTCCAAAAACGGACACAGGATGTCACCACCCACCAAACCACCCCAACCCAACCCGAAGGCTCAGATTTACCCTCGATTTCCAGTGGGGGGGGGGTCGGAAAACATCGAGAAAACACATGTGGAACCCTTACCCCCCCCAACCCGAAATTCGGGTCTTCTTCGGGTTGGGTTGGGGTGGTCTGGTAGGTAGTCAGGATGAAGAGCTTGTCGCGTGGAATGGGTCGAGACCTTTGGGGGTCGGCGTCGTGAACCAGTCGTGGCGTCGGGGGTCTGGGATCGGTGCATGCGCCTCTGGGGCGAAGCCGGCAGGGCGTGCCCACACCGATGCCGGTGCCAGGACGGGCGTGGCCAGGATCGGTGTGTTTCGGTGTGCGGTATGCGTCCCCCTTTTTCCTCTCTCGCGCTCTCTTCCCTTCCACTCCTTTCCCTATCCAGTATCCTGTCCTTCTTGTCTTCTCCTCTCTCTCTCTCTCCTTTTTTCTTTGTTGTTTATCTCTCTCTCTCTCTCTCGTTCTCTCATTCTTTCGTTCTTCCATTCTCTCGTTCTGCTGTTTGTCTTCGTCTTGTGCTTGTCCCGCTGGACGCTGGCATCTGCACGTCGTCTCCCCCTTCCTTGCGTTAGTACTGCCCTTCGGTGTGGGGCGCCGTGGGGGAGGAGGAGGAGGAGGAGGAGGAGGAGGAGGAGGAGGAGGAGGAGGAGGAGGAGGAGGAGGAGGAGGAGGTGGAGGAGGAGGAGGAGGAGGAGGAGGAAGAGGAGGAGGAGGAGGAGGAGGAGGGCGGAGGAGGAGGAGAAAGAGGTGGAGGACGCCGCGGAGATAGACAAGACATTCCGCAGTCACGAGTCATGAAGTGGCGGATGACCAGGACAATGAGCAGGATGATAAGAAGAAGGATTAGGAAGGAGGATGACCATGACGAAAAGCATCAACAGGAAGTGGAGCGAAAGGAGCTGGATAAACAGAATAACTCGGGGAAGGCGGAGGAGGGAAAATGAGGCGGGCGACAATGATGAACAAAGACTCGTATCCAAGAAATGTGGCCCACGCTGATGCGAGAACGCCGTCATGAACGACGTGAGTGAGCAAATCGCTGATCCGTAAATGAGGCCCAGGCTGCTGCGGGAACAGCTTTTTGAAACACCGGCAGCAAGCGGATAGTAAAACATCATGACGAGCACAACTTTGTTGAACCCCGTGTGTAAACAAAAACAGTAGGTGGATGGGCTTGGACATCTCCCGGACAGCTTCAGGGGAGAGAGGAGAGTCATATTCATATGATGAGCTGCACGGGTACGCCCGCCTTGAAACGCAACACGTACCGTGGTCAACGCGTCCGTGCGAACGCGCTGCGGCTTGGCTCGGCACGTGCCGGCCCACGTTTTTTGGCGAAAGCATCGCGCCAGACCTGCCCTCTCAGTCTGCGTGTGGGGCTCCGTGTCAACACGCTGCGGGTTGCGTGTGGCGCATCGCGGCAGCCATGGTCACACATGTGCCAGTGTGGAAGAGGGGGGCGATGGGGAGAGGGAGAGGGGCGGATGGAGCAGAGAGGCTGGGCCGGAGGAGGCGTGAACCAGGGCCCTGCCATCCCCCCCCTCCGGCCCTCCCCCCTCTCCCTGCCCCCCCAGGACCGCGACGGCTTCGTCATCGCCGGCGGCGGCGGCATGCTCGTGCTGGAGGACTACGAGCACGCCAAGGCTCGCGGCGCCAGGATCTATGCGGAGGTGGTGGGCTACGCCGCGAACGCGGACGGGTGCCCCGCCCAGGGTTCGTCGAACTCACTTCGTCGACATCAACGTGCGGTCGGAAACTTCTGCTCAGCGCCTCCTGTTCGCTGTCTCATGCTCGCCGGTTCTCGGCGCTCGCTGCTTCTCGAAGAGAGCGTTCCCTGTTGCCCAGATCTCGCCGAACGGCCGCCAGAGAGCCGAGTTGTCAGTTGAACACAATGCGACGAGGAACGTTTCCCTACAGTCGGCCAGGATTAGTAGGTCGACCCTGCCAAGTCAAAGGTAGCCTTGTGTCCTGTGCCTCGCGCCCCATGCTTCCCACATTCCTGTGGCAATGTGACCCTCGGAAGGGTCTTGTGTCCTCTCGCGTGTCCTGTCCGATCAGGTCCGACTGTAGCATGCCGCGCCGTTGGCTCTCCACGTTACGGCGTGACACGCGAAGCAGGTCCTGGCTCCCAGGCGTCAGCGTCCCGAGCTGTCTCCAGCCTCCCGTCCCTTGCGGAGCGGAGCGGTGCGCTATCGGCTTGCAGGGCACGGTGTGTCGCCGGGGCCGCCGCCGCGGCACGCTAAGAGGTCGTCAGGGGGCTGTGCGTTTCCAGCCTGACTCGTTTGCACGGCCCAGCTCCCGGTGAGCCCGGTTTCGGCCCGAGCACCGACCAGCTGCGCTCGGTCATGCAATCCTTGCGCCGAGAGGACCGCGAGTCTCAGTTGCAGGCCAAGGTTGAGTCTCTATGCGCGGCAGCTGGGAGCCCCTCGCGGGCACCTGGCCGAGCCAGTGCCGCAGGGGACTGACGGCTCAGACTGAGGCGTGTGCCTCGTCTCGCGCCGCTGTCTGTTCTCCTTCGGCCCTCTTGGGCCAGCGCGAGCTGTGGGGGTGGTGGCTCCACCTGTTCGGGCTTTTGCAAGCGCTTCTTCTTCTTCTTCGTCTCCTGTTTCTTCTTCTGAGAGAGAGAGAGAGACAGAGAAAAAAAAAGAGAAAGAGAGAGAGAGAGGGAGAGATCCGTGGGATGAGCTATTTCCCCCCTCTGTCTCCTTTTCCCTGACGGGGCTCTCTCCCCCCGGGGCAGCCCTGTGGCTCTCGCCGCAGCTGCAGGGAACCTGACGGACGAGCGGGGGTCCCCCCCTGCCAGCTTTAAGTCGGGTGTGTCCGTCTACAGGGGGAATATCCAAAAATAATAAAACAAATAGTCAGGGGACGATTTTCCGAAAATCTTCGGCCATGTGTTGGGTATTTTTGGAGTATTTTTAAATTTCTTCCAAAATCACCCTGTAGGAGGACAGGCCCGACTTAATGCCAGCTGCGTCTGGAGCCCCGCAACTCTTGGAGATCCGCGCGGGTGTCTCGGGCCGGCGCCGGACCCCTCCTGCAGGGCTCGCGTCGATTCCCCCTATCCGATCCGATTCGATTTCGATGGCTTCCGATTATGATGCGATTCGGCTCCAGGCTTCGATTCGGACTTTTGGAGGCGCACTAGCCTGCCGACTTCCCCCGATCTGACTCTTCCCGACTCGGCCGCCGATTTCCGCCGATCCGATTCGTTTCGACCGCCGATCCGACGATTCGACTCTCTGGGCTCTCCTGCCCTCCCGACGGCGCCGCCGGCGCCGTGCCCGGCGCGCGCTCGCCTGGGGCGGAGGGCTCAGCGCCGACCCCAGGAAGCCGGGCTGACCTCCCCGAGTGTGGGCGATTGCGTGCTTTTCTGCTCTGCGGCCCCCGGCCCCCCCGCCTCTCATTACCAGCCTCGAACTTATCCCTATCCCTAAGATCGACACGCCAAAAGGCGATGACAATCTTAGGGATGCGCCCTCAAAAACTAAGGGAATCCCTAAGATTGGCATTGTGATGAGGCGATGCCCAGCTCAGGGATAGGGATATGTTCCAGGCTGGTAATCTCACCACCCACCAAAGCAAACCCCAACCCAACCCGAAGGCTTCGATCTGCCCCCCATTTCCAGGGGGGGGGGGGATCGGGGGGAATACGGCAAGAAGACACGGAACCCGTACCCCCCCTCACCCCACCCGGAATTCGGGTCAGATTCGGGTCTTCGGGTTGGGTTGGGGTGGTCTGGTAGGTGGTCAGCTTCCTCCGAAGCTCTGCGGCTCGGGTCGACGCGGCCCCGTCTGCCCCGTCCCGCGGGGGTCTCTCGCCGCACTCCTCGCGGCGCTCTGGGGCGCCCGTGCTGGCGGATGCTCTCTCCCCGTGCTGCTCTCCTCCGTCGGCATTCTCTCTATGCACTGCTTGGCGGGCCGGCTTGCTCTGCAGCTGAAGTGCTGCACGACGTGGATCACCCAGAGGTGCTCGTAATTCACGTCCTCCGGCCCCGCCTTCCTGTGCCCTGCCCCCCGTTAATTAAAGTTGTGCGTAGCCCGCCGAGCTTTTAGCGGAAGAGGTGCGCTCTCGCCCCGCAGATCAAAATTGTCTTCACCACGTCCTCCACTCCTCTCCTCCCGAGCACCGTCGTCCCCGAGGTCCGAGGCTGAAACTTAAGATGTAGGTTGTTGGGGCCTGTCGCGCCTCCAGAGGCCTGCAGAGGGGTCCTGGGGACCGCTGGGGAGACACGGGGAGAGCTCCGGAGACCTCCAGAGATGCTCTGGAGGCCTCCGGAGACCCCCTGCCGCCCTCCTCTGCCCTGCCTCGCCTTCCATAGTTCGTCCAGGTGTCCTTCTCCTCCTCCTTCTCCTCCTCCTCCTCCTCCTCCTCCTCCTCTCCTCCTCCTCCTCCTCCTCTCCTCCTCCTCCTCTCTCCTCCTCCTCCTCCTCCTCTCCTCCTCCTCCTCCTCCTTCCTCCTCCTCGTCCTCCCCCCCCCTTTCCATCTTCCTCCTCCTCCTCATCCTCATCCTCATCCTCCTCCCCCTCCCCCTCCCTCCTTCCCCCTCCGTCATCCTCGTCCCTCCCTCCCTCCCTCCCACGGCCGGCAAGCAAGATGTTGCCTCCCCGCCATGTGCCCGAGGCATTGCAGAGCCACGACAGCCCAGCTGCCCAGATCTCCACCAGAGCTCTCGGCCCACACATTGACGGCCCTCTGGCCCCGAAGCGGGACGTCGTGGGGCGAAGAGCTCGAGAGGTCGGTTCGTGCTCCCTTGTCTTGGGGGGGGCCTCCTCGGCCGTCTCCGGGCCCTCTTGTGGCCGTCTTGGGGCGCTCCTGGGGGCCTCCTGGGGGCTTCGTGGGGCGTTTGCTGGGCCGTGTGGGCCGTTTTGAGCGTATAGTTGGTGGGGTCTTCGGAGGCGCCTTGGACGCGCTCATGACCAGAAAGGCTGCTGCGATGCCACAAATCTACCAACAACCACGTGGAGGTTTGGATTTTCCGATTCTTGGCGCTCTCTGGAACGGCCCTTTAGGGCTCTGACGAACTGTAGTGGGGGCCTCGTGGACAATCTGGAGGCCATCGTGGGCCCGTTGGGGTAGATCTGCAACCGTCTTGGACACATGTTCAGGCGGCGTGTGGATTGTTTTGGGCCGACTAGACCATCTTGGAGACCGTCGGGGCAGCTTAGGAGCTTTAAAAAAGCTCTGGGGGCTCCGGGACCCCTCCCTGACTAGTTCATCCGGGGACTTTGCTGGGCCCGGGGCTGAATCCGACGCGCAATTTTGGACCTGGTGGTGGGGGACCAGGGGGGAGAATCTCACACGCCTGGAGGCCCGAAAGGGGCCGGCGAATTTGTCCGCCGTATTTTGAAGTAAGAGGAGGAGGACCCAGGCTTCTTGTGGGCCTTTTTTTGAGGAGCCTTCTGGAGCTTCTCGTGGCCACAGCTGGCTTCGAAAGTGTGGCCGGAACGCACCCCTGGACATGTCCAGGGATCGATTTTCCAGGACGAGGAAAAGAAGGAGGAGGAAGAGGAGGAGGAGGAGGAGGTGGAGGGAGGAGGGAGGAGGGAGGAGGGAGGAGGGAGGAGGGAGGAGGGAGGAGAGGGACGAGAAGGGGAAGGATGATCGACGACGGCCAGCGCTTCCTCAGTTCGAGCCTCTGGAGCCCAGCTCCGGGCACCGTGGCCTCCGTGGTCATCAGGCTGTGATCCGGGATGAGGGCGAGGAGTGACGAGGGTGGGTAAGTTCGACTAGACACTAGACGTAAGAGTGACCTTTCGCAGGAGTGACCTTTGGAGCGGGCACAGGTGGGCCCTCAGATGGCTGAGAACGGAGCGGCAGCAGCGGCCTGCGCACCCCGGTTTGGTCTCCCCGCGGCCCCCCAAAAGCCGCGCACCAAAGGTCACTCTTACACAGGGTCACTCTTGCGTGTAGCCGATAAGTGAACAGGCTGGGCTGCGCTCTGCCATCGTTGTGACGCTGCTGTGCTCGCCCCGACATGCGCTGTCAGGCAGCTGTTGTCGCGTGGATCGTGGCACCCAGCGGGCACGTCCGGCACCCGCTCGGCAGTGCAGGTCCAGCCTCTCACGCACGCGTGTGCCCCGAGACGTGGTCGCCAGGACGCTTCGGTGGTTGCCCGCTAGTCCCGGGGGCCACGGGCCGCATCATGGCGGCTTGCTGGGCGTCTGAGATCTTCGCGATAGCTCGGTGTGATCCTGCAGTAGGCATGTCAACGAGCAGCTGGCCTGCCAGGAGGTGTGTCCCACGGAAGTCGGCTCGCTCCCCAAAGTGGCTTCGGGGGCCCACGCCTAGAGGCACTCCAGAGAGCTCAATTCTCGACTCCAGGGCGCTCAGATCTCGAGGAAGAGCGTGCCCAAACTTTGGTCGTATAGCTGTGTAGTCTTGTCGTGTGCAGCTGCTGTGCGTCGTCGAGGGTGCCAGCGCGCGGCGCGCCCGGCAGGTACGACGTCGTCGCGCCGTCGGGCGTGGGCGGGGAGAGCTGCATGAAGATGGCTCTGCGCATGGCGAATGCGACCAGGCGGCTGCCGGTGGACTACATCAACACCCACGGCACCTCCACGCCGCTTGGAGCCCGGGCCCGCGGGGGTCTGGAAAGCCAAAGCGGCATGTTGGCCCGCGTGGACCTCGGGCGGTGATGTCTTGCTGTCTCTGTGGTGCAGCTCGGGTGCTGCGATCCATGTGGTGCCATCTAGGTGGTGCAGTCCATGTGGTGCCGTCCATGTTGCGCAAATCAGTGCAAAGCCAAGCAATGCAAAGCAATGCAGCAAGACTACAGGACAATGCAAAGCAGTAGAACGCACTGCAGAGCAATGCAACGTAGTGCAAAGCAATGCAAAGCACTCCCAACTGATGCAACTCACTGTACACCAATGCGAAGCAATACTACGCAATGCGACGAAATGTGACGCACTACCAATCAAAGCAAATCAATGCAAATCAATGCAGCGCGATGCGCAGCAATGCAAAACGATACAGATCAATGCACAGCAAAGCAATGCACAGCAATACCACGCAGTGCAACGCAATGCAACGCAATGCAAAGCAACGCAGAGCTATGCAAACCAATGCAGAGCAGTGAGAGTCAATGCGAAGCAATGCAAAGCGGGCGGCGATGACGGGCGGCGACGAGGCGGAGACGGCGGCCACATGGCGGCCAGAGCGGCCCGCAGGCCCAGGCGACGGGCGGCGACGAGGTGACGACGGCGGCCACATGGCGGCCAGAGCGGCCCGCAGGCCCAGCTCGTCGGAAATAGCATAAGAAACCCTAGGTGCAAGCACTGTTTGGGGGATAGGCAGAATTTCTCGGAGACCCGCGCAGAAAGCATGGATCGGCGTTGGGCCCCCCCTAGAGGCACCTCCGGTGCCGCCACTGGCGCGCTCCAAGCGCCAGGGAGGGGGGTTCAGCGCCGATCCTATAAATCCACGCGGACCTCCGAGAAGTTTTTCATTACAGTTCCTTGGTCCTCTAGTCAAAGCCGAGCTCGCTCGAGCGCCTGCCAAGGCGCTGATCCCTCCTCTTGCTGTTGTCCCCTCCTTCTCATCGGCCAGTCTGCTTCCACCGTCTCCCCCTCATTGGAACGCCTCCCCCTCCGATTTCTCTTCTTCAGCATGCTACTCTCTCTCCGTCGTGCCAGCCGCCTTCTGGGCCAGTGTTTCGTGCCCTGGGGACCGTCTCGCCACCGTGCCCGGGCCTCTTGCAGGGCACCTTGGCGGCCGTCGGGGCGCTTTTTCGGGGGTTGTCTGTGGGGGAGGTCTTGGGCGGCGGAGGAGGAGGAGGAGGAGGAGGAGGAGGAGGAGAAGGAGGAGGAGGAGGAGGAGGAGGAAGAGGAGGAGGAGGAGGAAGAGGGGGAGGAGGAGGAGGAGGAGGAAACCCACAGTCAGGAACGTTTGCCCAGCTTTTCGCGCTGCGGGTTCTGGCCCGCCATGCCTCGGCGCGACACGCTAAGCACATCTCAGTCCCCAAGCCTCAACGTCCCGAGCCGTTCCCAGCCTCCCACCTCACGCAGCAGAGCGACGCGCTGTCAGGCAGCAAGGCTAATGGCGTGTCGGAGGGGCCGCCGCCGCGACACGCCAAGCTAAAGTTCTGGGTGGCCGTAGCCTGAAGAGAGCAGGAGGGGGGAGAAAGGGGAGGGGAGGGGAGACGGATGGGGGGAGGGAGGCAGGGAGGGAGGGAGGGAGGGAGGGAGGGAGAGGAGGAGGAGGAGGAGGAGGAGGAGGAGGAGGAGGAGGAGGAGGAGGAGAAGGCGGAGGCGGAGGAGGAGGAGGAGCCTGTGGACGAGGCGGCCAAGACGTGGTAGACACCCGAGAGGCCACCGAGGCGAGGGCAAGGCGAGGCCGAGCGGACCAGGTGCGCTCCCCGCGTTCCCCCGGCCCCCGCGCACAGGAGACCCGCAGGAGCTCAAGGCGGTGAAGCGCGTATTCGCGGACGAGGAGGGAGAGTCGTGGGCGACAGAATACATCCATGCCCAGAGCCCCTGGCGCTGCGCATAGCATCACAACGGAATGCTGTTCTAAAGTTTCGAACCCCAAGGGCTCTCACCAGCCCTCGGGGCTGTCACACAACGACTCAAGATGAGAAGTTGTCCCTCGGGAAGGAGTGCGTTCTGAGGGCCACATCATGGGAGATCACGACGTCGGGGGTGCGGTGTCCGCGGCCTTCGGGGCCGGGCCGCTGGGCCTGCAGGGCCAAGTCTACCTGCTTCGTAGAAGGCGACTAGCTGGGGCCAGTGGTACCGCTCTCACGTTCTGGCCAGAAGCGTCTATGGAAACATTGGGTGCCGTGACGTCAGTAGGCGCACTCGGGGTAGATGCGTCTATGGACAGCGCGGCCGTGACGTTCGGCGCAGTACCACGTCGGAGAACGGGCCGATCCGCCTACGGTGCGTTCTTGCTCTGGAGCAGGCCCCACACAGTATCCCCCCACGCTCGGCCACGACCCCGCGGGTACGGGGCGTTTTTGTCGAGGATGCCCCTCGCGGAGCGCGTCCGTGCGATCCCCTGCGTATCTGCGGGATCGCGCCCCCCCCGGGGCTCCAGACCGCGAGGGTGTGGACACGGATGCGTACGCTTAGGTCGGGCATGTCCTCCTCCAGGGGGATATTTGGGGAAACGTTGCAAACATAATCAAAACATATTCAAAAATAGTCAAAGATAGTCCAGAAATCGTCCACAGACTATTTTGTAAACTATGTTTGAATATTCCGCTCTTAAGCGTACGCCGCTCTCGAGGGCGGGGGTTCTCGCTGGAGCCGCGGAGCGCAGCCTCGCTCTCAAGGAGGGGGCGGGGGGGCGAGCGGGAGCCGTCGAAGGAGAGGGGCCGGCGGCACGGCCGTCTGCGTCAGGGAGCGAGCGAGCCCTGCGGGAAGCCGTTCCCGATGTTTTTGTTTGCCATTTGTTTTTGTCTGTTTTTTGCTCGGGCTTCTGGGGGTCCTCTCGGGGCCCCGGGAGCGTAAACTCGACGAACTAAAAACGGCATAACCTGAGAGTGTTGGAGTTCCGCGCGGATCTCTTGGATCTGCGCTGGAACCCTTTGGCCGCGCCTCGGGCGCCGCCCCTGGCGCGCTCCGCGCGCCAGCGTGGGGGTCCAGCGCAGAGCCACGAAATCCGCATGGAGTTTCAGCAGTAGTTTCTGTGTGTGCCGTTTTTTCTTCCTCTGTGAACAAAAAACCATTCGGGATGCAGAGCTCGGCGGGGGGGCAAGCTCCGGGGTCCATGGGGAAGGACGTGGCTCCTTGGGGACCCGCTCCTGTTGATGCCAGGCCTGGGCTGGGGGAGGGGGGTGGGGGCAGGGCCAGGTGAGCGGTGGCCTGAGGCTGCAGATTCCCGCCGCGGCCGGAATGGAGGCCCTCCAGATGCGGAGCCGCCTTGAGGGCTCCGAGTCGGGGGGGGCTCTGGGGAGTCGCCCGTGCTCCGAGCACGCAGCGCAGAGGGCGAGTGCGCCGCCCGCGCGCCGGGGAGGGTGCGAGGCGAAAGCCTGCGCCGCTCGTCCTGGACATCCAGGGGCGGTGGGTAGGTATGGATAATGCGGGATGACGATTAAATAGAAAATGAGAGAGAACGATTAAGAAAATAGTTTTCTGTTATTTCTGCATAATTTTCTGACTGGAGGAGAACGATTAAAAATACTAGTTTTCCAGCCCGCGGCAGGTTTTTTCTGATCGTCATCCCGGGCGCCGCCGCGTGAACACGACCCCCGGTCATTTATTAATCGTCATCCTCCATTGCGTGTGGTGGCAAATCATGAGAGCCTCGTGTGCCGCGTGCCCTCTAAATTCCGTCTTCAGCGTCGGCTAGCGGCGATCAGCGTCAGGTGATCGCTGGGGGAGTGCCGATGTAGTGTCGAGTAGCGTCGACTCAGCGTCGATTCGTGGCGGCCATCGCCTACTAGCGACGATTCGCGTCGGTTCGGAAGAGCCGACAAGATGGTGCGGGAGGTGCCCACGAGTTGCCGCCGAAGGTAGGATGTAGAAGTATGGCTTTGCGTGTCGCTTCGCCGGTGCTGGCCCACCACGCTGCGGCGCGGCACGGCATGCTGTCCACGTCCTCCCAGTCCCCGGCCTCCTCCGGCCTCCCGCCCCGTGGAGCGAAGCGGCGCGCCGTCCGCTCGCAGGGCGCAGCGCGCCGCTGGGGCCGCCGCCGAGACGCCAAGCACAAGCTCGCGGCCGGAAGCCGATCTTCTTGAACCTCGGGAGGCAGCGATGCCCACCCCTAATTACCCCCGACGTCATTTTTTTTTCATGACGCGACCCGCAAAAGTCTGTTTGCATCCCGAGCCGTTTTTTGACGGCCCCGAGGCCCGGCGAGAGCCCCCCAGGAGCCGAACATAGCGAAGAACTTCCCGTCGTGAGTTGTGCTGGACACGCGGGGGTCTGGGTCTGCTCGGGCCCCCCGAAGAGCGGCTCGGGCAGGCAGTGCAGGCGCACGGCCCGAGGCCGCCGGAGGCGCCGCCAGTGGGAGGCCCCTGGATATCGGACGATTCAAGCAGCTGCGAGGCGTCTTGGCTGGCCTATACCGGGTGAAGCCAGGACCCCGGTTAAGGGGAGCCGGTTAGTTACCGGGCCCCGAAACCCAACATATGGACTGGAATCACTAAACCAGGCTTGCCGTAGCTGGTGCTTTTTGGGTGACGGCAGTTCTGGTCAGTGGAACGGGGCGGGGGGGCGTCCCGCAGCACACATCACTAAACCAGGTCCCACTAAACCCAGATCTGCCAACGCCCGACTACAGGCCCGTCAAAGAATGTGTCAAGAACCTTTTGTGATCTGCACGAGATGTTCTTGGATCATGTCTGGCTGGGGCGCTGTCTTGTTTTAGCACATCGGGGTTATGTTCTAAGAACATCGTTTGTGTTCTCAGAGCATGTTTGGGTTCTAAGGTTCTAAGAACATGTCGTGGTAGGCCAATAGGAATGCCGGGACGGTCGGTCCCTGCTCAAGGATGGGGCTGGAACGAGGATGAAAATCCGCTCCAGAGCCGAACGCTCCGAGAAGGCCGCGGCGCCCGAGACGTCCACCAGAGCCACCAGACATACGATATTCCCGATGTAAGTGTCCTCGTCCGAGTGTATCCTTGCCCTGGCTCTTCGTCTTACCTGGGGTGGTGCCTGTAGTCCAGGGGGGGGGTACCTGTAGTCCGCGGGAGGGGGGGGACCTGTAGTCGGGGGGGAGGTACCTGTAGTCCGGGGAAGGGGTACCTGCAGTTCGGGGAGAGGGAACGGTTACCTGTAGTCCGCGCTCTTCGTCTTACGAGAAGGCCAGGAGCAAGAACAGCTATGGATGTTGCTAATGTCGATGTGGGCTCTTGCGTCAGTCTTCCGCCCTCGGAATCAGATACGGCATGCCTTGGTCGGCGTTTTGCGGGGAACGCGCCGATTCTGGCCGGATCTGGGGCCCCGTACGGCCGGACCGAGGCAGAAGACCGAGGTCGGTTCGGGGGAGGGTGCCCAGGATGCCCTTCGTGCCTGTGGGATGCTCTCCTTTGCCTCCTGTGGAGGGTGCCCTCGGGCTGCTCCGTGTGTGTCTTGGCCGGCGGCGGGCCTCCCGTGCTCGAATGGGGTGTGCTTCGGCCCCAGGTCCGGCCGCCAGGGGCCCGGCCCGCAGCCCTCGTGTGCCTCTGCTCGGGTGTTGCCCGAAGTGCCCCTGGCCCAAGGGCCCCCCCCGGGAGATTTGCGAGGATGCCCCCACGGCCTCCATTCTGGACGCCCGAGATGGGCACGGAAAGAACGGGTACGATGTCCAACAGCAGTTCCTGTTCACTTTGAACAGGGCTCGCTGTCCGCGCCGCCGCGGCCTGCGTCCATTCGAGACAGAAGGCCTCCCGCCCAACAGCGGCCGCTGTTGGTTTGGAACAACATTTGTCGTTGGGCATTGTACCCATTCTTTCCGTACCCATTCCGGGCGTCCAAATCCAAGCAGAGCACCCCCTCACGAGGCCCAGAGGGCCCCCTGGGGCTACAAGGTCGAACGACAAGCTGGGGCCACAATTGGGCCAGGGGCACCTTTCGAAACCCCCGGTTTGTCCCCCGCTGTCTCCTCGCCCACGCGAGCAGTGCCGACCACGCGCCTGTCCGCATCCGCGGCCCCAGGGGCCGGACCCCTGGGCTGAAGTGTAAGTCGGGCCTGCCCCCCTACAGGGGGATTTTCAACGAAAAATAAAAAGTACCCAAAACATAGCGAGAACATAGTCCAAAAATAGCCGGGGAACTATTTTTTGAGTTGTTTTGTTTCTTTTATCTTTTTGGTGTATTTTTGAATATTTATTATTTTTCGTCGAGAATCCCCCTGTAGGGGGACACGCCCGACTTAAGCTGAAGTCGGGCCTGTCCCCCTGCAGGCGGAACTTCCAAGACGAATCCCAACAATAGTCTGGTGACGGTGTTCCATTGATCGGCGGCGGGCGAGGGGGGGAGCTGAGAAGGAGAAGGCCTTCTCAGAAGGCGGCGGGACTTCTCAGAAGCCCTCGCGCCTTCTGAGAAGTGCTTCCTGCCTTCGGAGAACGCTTAGAAAACTTCTCAGAAGGCCGGGGGACTTCCGAGCCTTCTGAGAAGGCCCGCCCTTTCTTATTTCCCCCCTGGGCGCGCCGCCAATCTGATGTTTTGACTCTTTCGGTGTATGTTTGACTTTTCATTTGTATCCCAAGATCCGCATACGCGGGAATCGCGGAAATCGAGATGCTATCTACGACAGATGGCCTCGCCAGGCTCACCATTGGCACCAGACCCCTTTATGCCACACCCATTGCATACCTCCAGATGAACGCGCTGTGACGGCCGCGGTGCCCGATACATCTTCGACTTTTTTCCGAGATTCATGGCGTTCGCATCCCCCTCGCCCCTCTTCAGACGAATGCTGGCATGCAGGTCCCTTTCGACTTGCGTGGTTTCCGCACGTGCAATTCGTTTGCGGCTTGCTTCAGGTTCAGAGCCCCCCCCCCGTCCATGCAAGTGAGCTTGCCGGAGTCGGGTAAAAAGAAACAGGCTCCGATATATTCTCCAGAGCCGCCGGGTCTCAGAGGTGTCCGATGCCCCCTCGCCCGAGTTCGTCTTCGTCCTGGCTTCGTCTCACGGTGGCGGCCCCCCTCGGCAGTGCCCTGGTGGACGCAGTCGCCGCTCGTGGGATCGCCGCCGAGGACTACGTCCCGTGGGTGGGGTCCACGAAGTCCCTGTCGGGCCATGCCCTCGGCGCCGCCGGCGTGCACGAGGCGGGCGCGGGGGGCGCGGGAGGGCGGGGCAGGGTCCGGGGCGACGAGGGGGAGGGGGAGGAGGAAAGGGGGAGTGAGGATGACCTCCCTCCCTCCCTCCATGTCTGCCTCTCTGCCTCTCTGTGTCTGTCTGTCTGTCTCCCTGCGTCTCTCTCTTTCTCCGTCTCTTCCTCTCTCTCACTCTCTGTTTCTCTCTCTCTCTCTCTCTTTTTGCTCCTCTCTCTTTCTCTCTCTGTCTCCCTCCCCCTCTCTCGATCTCTCCTTCACGCACCTTCCGACGGCCGCCACGTCTTGCCTCTCCCACATCCCGCGCACGTTTCGCAGGCAAGGCGCTGCTTTTCCACCCTCCGCCGGCCCCGTGGCCTGCCTGGCACGGTCGGCGCACGGCAGCGCCCGGCAGCGCTCTCGGTGGGGCCCGCACCTCGTGCTTCCGCCCAGGGGGCTTGCTGGAAGGTGGTGTCGGCTTCGCGCCGTCCGTGGCTCGCCGCTCTCGTGCGCTGCTCTCTGGGTGCCTGCCCGCCGCCCAGTCTGCCTCGCCGCGTGCCGCGTGCCCCGCGCACGCGCGCCGAGAGTGGAGCGCCCTCGGGCTCTCGCCACGCACGGCCCTGCTGCAGCCGCAGCCGAGCGGGGCGCTCGAGGGCCGCACGCGGACACTCGCTGCGCACTCTAAACCTATCCATAGATATACAGATCCACATATCTACATGTATCTCTCTATCTTATATATATATATATATATATACGTATGCGTGTGAGTATGTTCCCCCCTCTCTCTCAGTCCATGTCTTGCTCTCTCTCTCTCTCTCGTGGTTGTTTGCTTGTTCTCTCCCTGTCTCGCTCCCTCTCTCCTTCTCTCTGCCTCTCTCTCTATATATATACCCCTCCCTCCCTCCCTCCCTCCCCCTCTGATTAGTTGTTCGCTGCTCACACTTGTGAAGTCGGCAGTCCCGGTGAAGCTCGTCCCTCCTCCCATCTCCTCTTCCTCGCGTTTTCGCCCTCATCCAGACGGGCCTCAAAGACTGTTCCACGTTTTGGATCACACGATAGAGGGGGATCGCATGTGGCTGCAGCTCCTGCACCTCCAGGCTCCAGTCATACCCCGACCCAGCCGACGACCTGCTCACATGGGAAGTCGAAGCCAGAAGATCAGCAGCCTCTTGGAAGCACTCTGAAAGCGCCTGCTGCTCACGTGCGCTTTTTGCCGCGAGGATCCTCTGCTGAGAGTGCAGCAGTGAAGATTTTCAAGATGCTCGAATCAGCTGGAGTTCCGACTGCACGCGACGCCCCCCGGCATCACATTCGAGCGTCTGAGGCCGAGGAGGCCGAGGTGCACGAGTGTGTGTGTGTGTTGCGCGCAAGAGTTTGCCAAGACCAGAGTTAAGTCGGGCCTGTCCCTCTACACAGGGAATATTCAGAAATAGTGAAAAATAGTCTGGGGACTATTGTTTAAATATTTTTGACCATCTGGGAGGATTTTTTTAGTATCCTTTAGTTTTCGTCGAAAGGCCCCCTGTAGGGGGACACGCCCGACTTAAGACCAGAGGCTTCCGGGATCACTTTCGTCGTCCTCACCTCATTCGTGTGCAGGTCAAGCGTAGTATGCAAGGTGACACGTTACATGTGTTACGTGTCTGCAGCAGTTTGCGCATAGGTCCGCGCTATCCGCAAGCGTGGCGTTCGACTCAGCCAAGTGCGCCGTTGGTCTCAGGCTAGCGGACAGGCAATGCACAGCAGAAGGGGCCGCCAGTTCGAACGACGAGGAGGCTGAGCGTTTGAAGGCAAAGCGCGGGGCTGGCCAAGGCAGGTGGAGTATGGAAGTCCCAGCGCGTCAGGCCTTTGGTCTGAACCGGCAAGCCGTCATCGATGAGTTAGCCTGGCAGACCAATCCCGCAGAATGTCGGCAGGTTTTCTCGGAATCTGACGACACCCTCCCGCCCGACCAATCTCGTGATTATGTTCAGATGTTGTCTGAAGACCCTCGGCCTCTCCAAGAACTTCGCGAAATGTTTTTCTTTGTTTTCAACCCTGGAGGCTACTCGGAGTTCGCGGCTGCTCAGGTGCCTATCCCCATCCGTCGGCCCATTGATTCCGTGCTCAACCTTTAGTGCGGACAGCGTCATTCAGGACAAATTCAGTGGCAAGTGGAGTTCTCAGTTGTGCAGCCGTCGGGCGAACTAGTGATTTTCAGTGTGGACGTCGCCAGACAGTATATTCGAGGTGATCTCACAAGATATATTACGCTCAGGGAGCGAGCCAAACACATCAGAAGCCATCGAGTCGTTATCACGGGGGGGGCTTGTGAGACTCGGTCGGCTTCCAGGCGGCATGCTGCCCCCTTCCCTCGAGGTCCACTCGGTATGTTTTGGGGCGTCCTTTGGAGCTCCCAGAAGCAATCAGAGCAGCTCAGAAGTGGGTCTCAAGTGTTAATTTCTCTGCTTGGATTCGATGTGGACATCTGAGATCTGGCGTTGGCAGCTGGCTCGAGCACCCATCCCTCCCCCATCTGGACACCGCGGCTCCTACCTCCTTTCGTTGGCGCCCCAGGAAGGCCCTTGCTGCCGCGCCGTGCCCTGCTAGCTCGCTTCTCGATCAGTGCGAGTTGCATGACAGCTGCGCGTGCTGCTCGACGGTCCTTCGAGCACCCACCAGCGTCATTTCCACTCGCATGCCTTCCCTTCCCCGCCTTCTCCAGGACTCGCCTGGGAAGGTGAGGTGCTCCCACGGTAGGGCCGTCCATAGGGCCCCCATCAGGCAAAACGAGGCTGGCCTTGTTTGGAGGGCCTCAAAGAAGAACTACCCCGCGGTCCTCTGCATAGCCCTTGCCACGGCTGTCGTCGACTTTCAGCGCACTCCCTCCTTTGTGGCCCCACCCCCTCGCCCGACCCCGACGTGTCTCGGATTGCGCGCGCGCGCCCGATGAGGCAGCTGCGCGCGGCTCTCTCATGGAGTTCCGCGCCGCTCTGGCAACGGACGCCCTGGTCGATGCCTCGACCCGCGGTCCCAACTTCGCTGGCGTTTCGACCGCGCTGGTCCTGATGCCTCCAGATGTTTGGAGTCCGACTCGGAGCCCGAAGAAGATGACGATGCTCAGGCCCACTCGACCTCTCAGCACCCTGCTGGGCCCGTGGGCGACCTCTCGGCCGAGGGAGGCGAATCATTCGCCGAGCAGGAGGTAATCCGTGGACCAGCCCCCTGGTCCTCTTGAAGAGCGACCTGCGTCCTGGCCGGCGACCTCTTCCCCGCCCTTTCTCAGCCCCCCGGAAACCAGGACACAGATGAACCAGAACACGGAAAGCCATGGGAACGACACCGTTTCCTGCAAAGTCTCATTTCCGAGCACCCGTGCATTTTTTGGTTTGCTGCGCTGCAGGATTCGGGTTTGTGTCCAGGTTCAGGGGGGTTTTGTAGGCACTTAGGGCCTGTGTCCGAGTTTCTTCTGGAAGTGCTGCAGAGCCGTTTCTTATTGCTGCCGCCGTCTGGACCATCTGGTTTCGAGGGATGTTGGGTGTCCAGGTCTAGCGTGTCCATGTTTGTAAGTTACCAGCCTGGAACATATCCCTATCCCTATGCTGGACACCTCCTCATCACGATGCCAATCTTAGGGATTCCCTTATTTTTTGAGGGCGAATCCCTAAGATTGTCATCGCCTTTTGGCGTGTCAATCTTAGGGATAGGGATACGTTCGAGGCTGGTAACTAAAGAGCCCCGACCTTCTCGCCCCTCGTCCGCCCCCCCCCCGCCCCTCTCCCTCTCGCCCCCGCTCCCCTCGGCCGCTCCCCTCGGCGCGGGGCCCGGCGCTCGGTTCCGCTCCCCTCGGCGTGGGGCTCGGCCCCTGGTGCTGCGTCCTCCTCCGCCTCCTCCTCCTCCACCTCCTCCTCCTCCTCGTCTTGGGAGGGGGGTCACGCTCGCTCCATCTCCTCGGAGGCCGTTCTGAGGTACTGCAAGGTCCCCCAGCTCGAGGTCGAGTTCCGTGTTCGGCGTGTGCGGTGGTACCAAAAGTGGGCTCTCAACCCCGAGCGGCACATGAGTGAGTGGGCCCCCCTCTTTGGCGACATGCAAATCGAGAAGCAGCGAGGGCTCCGTACATTGGACCCCGAGGGCCACCTCACGGCCACGGCGAACCCGTGGGCGGTTCAGTACGCCAGGGACTTCGAGGCTCTTCGGAGAGTTTCTTCGGATTTCGAGGAGGACATGCGCTCGTGGTCTGGTGCCCCGCTGGCGTTTCTCGAGGAGGGGGATCTGAGGGACTGGTTCACGGAGGTGGACCTCTCGGTCGTCAGGGCGGCCTGGTTGTCGGTCTGCTTCCCTCCTCCTGGAGTGCTCCGCGAGGCCCCCGCTGCGCCACCTGAGGTACCCGCAGGGCGTGCTGAAGGATATGCCTGTGGGGTCGGGGACTGCGCCAAATGGTTCTTGACGAAACGGCAATGGCTCGTCCACATTCGGGTGGTCCACGGGTACAAAACCCTTCTCGCTGAGGCTACTCCTGGGACTTCGTGTTTCGTGTGTTACAGTCGGTTCCAGCGTCGCAATGCTGCTGACAACCACGTCCTGGACTCGTTCGCCTCGGGATTTTGTAAGCCGCAGCTCAGCACGACGCTCGAGCTCGAGGTTCCAGAGGGGCCCTTCGATGGCAGAGGTGACTGGCGCCTGCTGCACGTGCTACATGGTAGGCGCAGAGGTGTCGTTCGTGAAGGTGCTCCAGGAGACGGGGCACAACTACGCGGAGAACTGCAAGGCAGACGGGAAGGACCACAAGCACGGGCCACCCTGGCCCCACGTCTTCAAAGCGTTCATCCAGTGGGCTTGCACGGAGGGCGCCGAGACCACTCCAAAGGACGCCAAGGACCTCTTCACGGACTACTGGAGGGCGGTGATTATGTTGCCGACGGCGCTGGACACGCTCGCGGTGCACTGCAGGCACTTCAGGCTCAAGGCATGCTGGTACGTCAGGAAGAAGACGAACAAGCCCGACCGCTACAAGTCGCAGATAATGCTGGGGGTCCAGCAGCAGACCAACAACTGGAACGGATGCGAGGTCACCCTGGTGGAGGCTGTTCGCAAGACCGTGGAGGCGGTGAGCAGCAATGAGGAGGCCAGCAAGAAGGTGCACTACCTACCAGGGTCCCCGCCGCGCGGGGGCCTGGAGCGCGAGGCGGCGAAGCTGCTGGGCCAGCTAGGCCTCAAGGACAAATCAGTGGAAGGGGACCAGGGCCAGGACGACGACGAACTTTGAGCGAGGTAGGATTCCGAGCGCGTCTGGTCGCGATCAACGGCTCTCGTAGAGTTGCTGGCCTTTTCCTCCAGTGCCACCTCCAGGAAGATACCTTTCTCGCCCTCCAGGCTCGGACCGCCTCTCCGATCCTCACGTATGCAGCAGGGGCCCTGCAGGTAGGAGCGTTTTGCAGATCAGCTCCCGTTCAGGCCTTCCTCGGCGCGGAAAGTTTTCGGGCGCTTTCCGAGGCCCCCCGTCGGCTTCGCTTGGCCGAGAGTTCTCTTGGGGAGGGCCGCGTTTCTGGGTCTTCTCGACCCTCGGAGGTCTGGGCGGTTCCGCGCCGAGAGTCCTGAGGGGATTGTGTTGGGGCAAACTTTCGCGTCGTTTGCCTTCGGTTCTGCTCAGCGTGGGAGTGCATAGGCGAGCCCCCAAGGCGTCCCCGAACGGGAGTCTCGTTCTTGCCAGTGGTATCCCCCTGTAGGGCCCCATAGACTTCCGAGCCCCTTAAGTGGTTCTCGAATGCCCGATCCGCTTTTAGTCTCCCCGTGGCCTGCAGGGTGGCTGCCTCGGGCTCAGCGTACCATCGGATCATTGGCGCTGCTCTGCTCTGCTCTCTTCGCCTCCTCCCCTCCTCCCTCCTCCTCCTTTCCTCCCTCCTCCTCTCGCCTCTCCTCTCCCTCCCTCCTCCTCCTCCCTCTATTCCTTCTCCGTAGAAATAACCTCTCTATCGCACCCCGGGGCCAGTTTTTAGGGTGGACTGGGCATTTCGCTTGAGATTCCCTCACCAGTTATGACCCTGAAGCTTTCGGCTACACGTAAGAGTGACCTTTCGCCGTAGTGACCTTTGGTCTGGGCTCAATGGGGTCTCCCGATCACCGGACGCGATGCGATAGTAGCGTCTTGCGCGCCTGGGTTTGGCCCCCCTGCGGCCACCCAAAAGTCGCGCACCCAAGTTCACTCTTACCAAGGGTCTCTCTGCGTTAGCGACCCCGAAGCTACAAATTGACAGATAGCTTCACTTTGTTTTTTTCTTTTCCTTGGGTTTTATTCTGATTGTTTATCTATTACTTATTTTTTTCAAAATTTATCCATTTCTGTTATTATGTTTTACGTCACTCTCTTTCATACTTTTACGGTATCTCTTAGGCCTTTTATATTGCCTCGCATTATTTTTTTCTTGCTTCTTCTCTTTTTCATATTTTTTTATTGCTGTTTTGTTTTATTCACTTTCTATTTTTCTGTTTTTTCTCTCATTTTTTTTAAACCTGGTCTTTCCTTTTTTACTTCTTTTTTATTTGAGTTATTTTTAATTTTTGGCTTTTTTCATTGTTCTGTTTTGTATTTTTTTTTTTCTGTTTTCTGTTTTTTCTTTATTTTTTTGTTTTGTTGTTGTTTTTCATTCTCATTTCTTTTTGTTTGATTTTTTTGTTCTTTTGTCTTTTGTCCCTTGATTTATTTTTTTTCTTGCCTCTCGTTTATTTATTCTTTTCACATATGGAGGGCGGGCCGTTTTTTTCAACGTGGCTCTCGCCTTGGCGCCGCGCAGCGCCTCGTCCTCCTCCTCCACCTGTCCCCCTCATCGTCCTTCTCCTCCTCCGGTCAGTCGACCTCCTCCTCCTCGTCCTCCTCCTCTTCCTCGTCAACCTCCTCCTCCTCGTCCTCCTCCTCCTCCTCGTCCTCCTCCTCCTCCTCCTCCTCCTCGTCCTCCCCCTCCTCCTCCGGTCAGTCGACCGACCCTGAAGGGACACGGCCCCGCCGGTTTGTCCTGCATCTGGCTGGCCTGTTGCTCGCGCTCGCTGTCCGAGCCTCAGCCCCAGACGCGCCTCGGAACTGGCGTCCCCGCCCAGCAGGCCAGGCTTGCAACCAGCCGCGAGGCGGCGGAACGCCTCCGCCGCGAGGCTCGGGAAAACGACGCCGCCCGCTGGTGAGTGGCGCCCCGCTGCCCGCGAGGCAGGACCGGCCCGCCCGCCGCCAGCTTCCAGGAGCCGGCCCCGGGGAAGCACGGGCGGCTTTGGGGGCGGCCCGGGCCCGTTCCGCCTGGCTCGACTTGCCCCGCTGGGCCGCTGCCGCTGCTGGTCTCCTCTCTTTTTTTCTTTTCTCGAGTGTATGGTATGCCTCTCCTGTGCAGGAGTGAGAGTTCTCATCGAGCTCGGCATATTGGCCCAGGCCGTCGTGGAGCAAGGGATCAAGCAGTGGCGAAGTGTCCTGGCTCGCCTATAGCCCTACCAAACAATGTTCTGGGAACCTTTTTTGGTTTCCACGAAGCACATGTCTGGCCGAGGCTGTCTTGTTTTATCACATCGGGTTTACGTTCCAAGAACATTGTTTTGTTTTGAGAACAGTTTTGGGTTCGAAGAACATTTCGTGGTGGGACTATAGGAATGCCGGGACGGTCGGTGCCTGCTCAAGGGGAGCGATGCCGTCTTCCCTGCCCCGAGTCTCCCTGAACTCCTTCCTCTCCCCCCCTATCGGGCGTCGGGCTGCGGTCGGGCCGACGCGCCTGTCTCTGCGCGGCGCCTGGCATGCGGCGTCACGCCGCCACGCCTCCCAAGGGCAGGAGCATCCTTGCTTCCCTCCTCGCCTCCAGCATTGTGGAGGACAATCAATGGAGAGGACGCATGTCGCCAAATAATCTCCAGATGTCCAGAACATGTGTTAAAACTGCTTCAACATGTTAAAACAAATACGTCTTTAAACGTTATCAGTACATTTTCAAAGATTTTACACACATTTTTAATTCGATGCTAGGACTGTTAGGGTGTCCATTGTCATGGCATCCACAACTCTAGCCCCCCCCCGACCTTCCCCAGGCATCCGACGATTTGATTTTGCCCAGTGCGGGGCCCGAGAATTCCCGACCCGCTCCCCCGCACCAGCTCTCCATGTCGGGCCGCTTTCTGGTTGACATTCCAGGGCCTGGCGAGGGGCTCCTGGAGGCCGATCCCGGCCCCAGACCTTCCGTCGTGTTTTGCTCGCGTGTCGAGCATGTCTGGGTCCTTCTCACCCCCTTTCCCTTCGGCTTGCCTGACCATGCTTGGCCAGAACCCCGAGGGAGCGGCTGGCGCTGGCGCGCGCCAGGCCATCTACTCGCTGCTGATGATCGACAGGGGCTTCCTTGCTGAGTCGATCAACATCGAGGCGCACGGGCCGATTCGCCGACGACGGCAACGGCGGCAAATGCGAGTGCGAACGACGACGACAACTGCGATGGCGACGGCGGACCACGACGTGTCTTTTACCCGGCTGGCCGGCTCTCCGACGACGACGACGGAGGCGACGACGACGACGACCACGACGACGACGACGACGGCGACGACGACGACGACGACGACGACGACGACGGCAGCGATGACGACGACGACGGCGGCGGTGGCGGCGGCGGCGGCGGCGGCGACGACAAAGACGATGGGGGCGGGGGGATGTATGGGGAGTTCGAACCCCTCCTACTTTCTGGAGGGGGGGGATCCCGGTTCCGGTTCCGGTCCCGATTTTCGGAGGGCGGTGGAGGGGGGTCTTGGTTCCACGGGGGACGGAGGGGGGTTGTTTTGCCACGAGTGCAGCGTATACGTTGGAGTCGCTCCTCCGAGTGTTCCCTGCTCCGTTTTCGCGCGTTCTCGTACCCTCTCTGGGGCGTCCGCAACCCAGACCCCGGACGTCATGATTTTTTCATTACGTCGACCCTTGGAGGTCCCGACCCGTTCCCCTGGGCCGCTTATTCATCCTGAGTCGTTGTTTGGCGGTCCCGAGGGCCAGGAAGGGGCCCCAGAGGCCGAAAATAGCAAGAAACTTCCCGTCATGATTCTGTCATTGCCCGAGGGGGTCTGGGAAACAGCCATGCAACCTCTCAGAACCTCGTCGAAGAGGCCGAGGGCATGAAGATCCTCACCGAGGGGCGGGACCCACCGGGGGCCGTCGCTGCTGCCGCCGTGCACTGCAGAGAGCCCACGTCCTCTCTCTCTCTCTCTTCATAGCCTGCTGTGCGCGCGTGGAGCTGCATGCCGCCGTCGGCGTCGTGGTCGTCGTCGTCGTCGTCGTCGTGGTCCTCGACCTCCTCCTGCTCCTCCTCTCCTCCCCCTCCTCTCTTCCTCCTCCGCCCTCGTCCTCCTCTCCTCCTCCCTCTCCCTCCTCTCCTCTCCTCCTCCTCCTCCCCCTCCTCCTCCTCCTCTTCCTCCTCTTCCTCCTCCTACTCCTCCTCCTCCTCCTCCTCCTCCCTCTCCTCCTGCTCCTCCTCCTCCTCCTTCTCCTGCTCCCCCGGCCATTTCGAAGGCTTACTCAGGTGAAACACGATATCGGGTGTGGTGCGACCGTGTGTGGGTACTCGCTTGCCCGCGGCAAGCCCCACCGTCACCGTGCTGGGGGAGCATATTCTCCTGCTTCTCCCACTTCCTCCCTCCTTGCCTGTGGCATTCCTTTCTCCTCCCTACCTCCTCTCCTTCCCTCCCCTCCTTGTTTCTGGCATCCCCCTCCTTCCTCCATGTCTCACTGATTGTGCTATCCCTCTCACAACAAGTGCGGCACATCGGCGATCAGTTCACGGATCTCGTTGCCTCAGGCTGGTTTATCAATAATGGCGTCAGGGCGGTTGTGGCATCGCTTCCCATTGTTCTGTTGGGTGACGAGCGGCAGCTCAGAGGACGGGGATGTGGAGGAGACGCAGCACGAGCAGGATCAGGAGCAGAGGCGACAGACGATGATGATGATGATGATGATGATGCTGATGATGATGATGATGATGATGATGATGATGATGATGATGATGATGATGACGATGATGATGATGATGATGCTGCTGCTGCTGCTGATGCTGATGCTGATGCTGATGCTGATGATGATGACGACGATGGTGGCGATGCTGCTGATGATGACGACGATGGTGGCGATGATGGTGGCGATGATGATGATGACGATGATGATGATGATGATGATGATGCTGATGCTGATGCTGATGCTGATGCTGATGATGATTATGATGCTGCTGCTGATGATGATGATGATGATGATGATGGTGATGATGATGATGATCTTGTTGATGAGTAGGAGGAGGACGAGGAGGTCCGAGATGGTCGCGGGAGGATTTGCTGAAACGGTTCGGTGCCTCGGTCGAGCAGCTCGAAGGTTGGAAGCGCGCGGAGCACGAGTCTCTTGCGGATGGCGTTTGATTGGTTGGGGACACTTTTCGCCGTTTCCTGTGATTTTTTGTTTTCTGTTCAGGCGCCGCTGACATCGTCGTGCGCCTAACTCGATATAAGGTATATATCTATAAATCGATCGATACGCACATATACACATATATATATATGTACGTATATATACATATATATATATATATATATTGTGACATCTAGAGTTATATGCACATGTACACAGGTGGACATGTAGAGGGGTCTCAACAGCGATGCTATCCATCAAGCGGCCCGCCCCCAGTGATCAAGATCTCCCGACGCGGATTCTGCAATCCTGCGGGCGCCCGTTCGGGGAGCGAGCCCGTCTCGCGTGCAGCGAAGAGGCCCCAGGGGCTTTCTCTACCCGTCAGCCCCAGGTGCGCGGCAGCGTCGAGGGGGTCTCTGGGCACAGCGGGTGGCGGCCCTTTCGGAGAAGCGCAAGAGTGGGTGAAGTCGCGTGTAATAGCGACGGGCCCTGTTTCCATAGAGAATGGGTGCGATCCGTCGCCAGATCAGGCGGCGCTGGCTTACTGTCTCGGGAGGTATAGTTCCCGATCCGTGGGTCTGCAGCCGACGCGCCAGATCCACGGATCCGCAGTCCATGTCAGCGTGCGCCCGACTCTCCCCTGCCTCGTGCCAGTGCCCAGACTGGCGATTACGATGTGCCTGCAATTGAAAGCGCAGCGCAGCTCGAGAACCGCGGGCTCCAGGCGCTGACTGCTCCCAGCGCGCGGCCAGTGCGCGTCGGGCGCCCCCTCCGGCCGCACCCCCTCCCCACCATCATCCCTTCCGCCCTCCTCTTTCCTTGGCATCGCTCGGGCGTGTGCATTTTTTCCCTCGGCGAGGACCCTCGAGGAGCATCCTCGATCCTGTGGCGAGAGAACCACGCACGGAACCGACAAACAGCACAGGGCATGGACGTCCGAGCGGTGGCGAGGTTCTCCGCCCACCGTGCTTCCACGCCCGCTCCGCGCCCTTAGCCTCCCCCCCGCCAACCGCCCCCCCCACCCACCCCACACCCCCCACCACCCCCGCCCCCCTCACGTAGGCCGTTCAAAGACCCGTCCCTGACCTCCCCCCCCCCCCCCCCCCCCCCTACCCCCACCCTCCCCCCAACCACCCCCCCCCCCCCCCCAACCCACCCCAGGTGCTCTCCAGACACCTCCCCTCCCCCATCCACCCCCCAATCCGAGAGTGCAATCCTCACCCCCCCCACCCCCCACCTCTCTCCTCCTCCCTCCCCTCCCTTACCCCTTTCCCCCTTCTCTCCCTCCCACATCCCCTCCCCAAATCCCCCCCCCCTCGTTGGGGGCTTCCGGTTCCAGGGTGCGCCCCCCCCCCTTTCTCTCCTTTTTTTTCTTCCCCCGACCAGGTGAAGACAGCTAAGCCAGGCGATGAAGGCACGGCGATGCGTTTCTTTCGGAATCGGGGTAGCATTTCATCCCCGTGGGGGCTCTACAGAGCCAAGCCCACCATAGTCCACACTGATAGTGAGGACGATCGACTTCCCAATGGGTACCCTTGCATCCTTGCCTCCTCGGTCGCCTTCGGCCCATCCTCGACCAGTTTCGATTGCCAGCCCCGCTCGAAAAGCTTCGGCATGGGCGTCCAAGGCCCCTGCATCCTGATCGCGCATCCTTACACTGTCAGTCTTGACTGTGCCAAGGGTGTCCAGGCAAAGTGGGGCGGAAGCACTGCTCCACCGCGCGTGCAAGCAGAGGACGGCAGATCGTGCCCAGGCCCGCGACGTCGCATGTGTGCTGCACTGCGGGTCCCTGGAGGCCTTGACCCCTTCCCCCCGGATCGTTTTTTCCTTTCTGGCCGCTCTTTGACGGACCTGGGACCTGGCAGGCGCACCCAGAGATCAAAGCTTGCCAACATCCAGACCTCCACGCGTTGTGAAAAAAATCACGTCGAGAGGTTTGTCGCTATTTCCGGGCTCGGGGGGCCCTTCCCGGGCTTCGGGACGGTCAAAAAAACGAGTCAGGATGACAAATTGGTCCCGGGGAAGGGGTCCAGATTTCTAGCGGTTGACGTCGTGAAGAAATCACGCCCGCTCTGATTTGGGAGTGTGCGATCAGGCAGACTCTCAATTTCTACGCTTGGACCCATCGGGGCCGCGTCCCAGCTATACACGCCGGTCGCTGGAAGTAGGTATTTCTGGACTCCCAGATCCCAATCTACTTCAAGCGACTTCCTGCTTCAGGGATCGACATGGTCCTGCTGTGTTTCGCTATTCTCTGGGAGGGCCTGAAGCCAATCTACTTCATCCGCCTTCTTACCTCATGTTTCGACTTACTTCTTCCGACTGGCGTGTGGCGGGCGTGCCCCTCTACAGGGGGAAGATTCAAACTTAGTTTAAAAATAGTCCAGGGACGATTATTCGAATATTTAGTTTGGCAATGTTTCAATAGTGTTCTAAATATTTTGGAACTTCGTCCCAAATCCGACCTGAGTGTAGACCTCCGAGGCCGCTGGCGGCCCTCGGCGCCGAGGCGCCTCCGCGGAGGCCTCGGGGTCGGGCCCCGACCGCCCCGGCCACCTGCTCGCACCTCGAGGCGTTGGGTTCCCCCCAAGAGGTTCGCCGAGCGCGAGGAGGAGGAGGAGGAGGAGGAGGATGAGGAGGAGGAGGAGGAGGAGGAGTCCACTGCTCGCAAAGTGCCTACTCGCAAACGTCCGAAAAGCAAATGTCCGCTCTGATGTAGTGTATCGTAGATCGTCCGCGGGGGAGCCAGGCCATTTGCGAGTAGTTCCTCTGCGAGCAGTGGAGCGCGCTCGTCCAGAGGTGGTCGTTTCTTCATTCCTTGTTCTGCCGATCGGCGCGGGCCCTCGCCCCCTGGCCATGCAAAAAGGGACCGTGTCTTTGCTCATTGTTCTGCCGATCCGGCGCGGGCCCTCGCCCCCTCCCTCCCTCCCTCGGCCCTCCCCCCCATGGAGCAGATCTTGGCTGCTTTCGGCGCCTGTTTCAAGCAGGTGGGGTCCCTACCTCATAGGACGCACGGCTACCAACAGCCGCACTAAGCAGAGGTCTGGAGCCCACTCCCCCCTCCCCCTCCCCTTCCGCCCAATACCGAAACGCCGGGTAAGAAAACGCTCACGAGATCCAACGGATTGAAGAGATCAAGACGGAGGCGTCTCGCAAAGCTCGGCCCCTCGTGGCCCTCGCCGGGCCTCGGGCCCGGATGCGGTCGGGAAGCCCGAGAACCTCCTCGCGCTGCGAACCAAGCACGACGGGAGGCCATCTCGCTGTATATTCGGCCTCCGGGGGGCCCTCCCCTGGGCCTCGGGAGCGTCCAACAGCGACTCAGGAGGAAGAGCCGGTCCTGGGGAATGGGGCGAGACTTCTGGGCACCCCGCCCCGAAAAGTCGCGGCATCGGATCTCGGGGGCTGGAGCCCCAGAGCCCGGCTTCCGCCGCCCTGCTCCTCCGAGCCGGGTCGACCTGGGAGGCTCCCGCGGGGCCCGAGGCCGAGGGAGCAGGAGCAGAGGCGCGGTGCGAGGCAGTGGCAGCGCCCGGGGCCTCAGGGTGTGGGCGGGGCGGGCGGCAGCCAGCGGCACGCGGCGCGAGCTCAGGAGCAGCCCGTGCGCCGGGTGATGTCGAACTCCTTCGGCTTCGGCGGAACCAACGCCTGCCTCATCTTCGACAAGTGGGTCGAGGAGTGAGGCGGGCGCACCAAGTGTCTCACCGCTGCTTGCCAGCAGGAGGAGGAGGAGGAGGAGGAGGAGGAGGAGGAGGAGGAGGAAGTGGACCTCCAGGATGTTGAAGTTCATGTTCGAGGGTTTCACATGGGTTCTTCCCTGAACGGCTTCTCTCTAGCGGTTTTGTTCGGGTTTTCGCAGGAACCAGTAGGTGGGTTGCCGGATCCGGAAATGGTGGGGCCATGGTGTCTCTCGTTATTTCCTGTTGCCCCCCGTTTCCCGTTGTCTTATATTGTATTACGCTGTCTCTCATTACTTCCCGGTGTCTCTCATTGTCCGATCGTCTACGTATCCTTATCCCTATCGTTGTCGTGACCCCTATCTGTATCCCCATCCCTATCCCTTTATCCTTATCCTTTTTATCCCCTATCTCTATCTCTACCCCTATCCCTAATATTCCTATCCTCTATCCCTGTCCATATCCTTACTCCGATTCCTATCCCTGTATCCCTGTCTTTTTATATTCCTAAGTCTCCAGCCCTTCATCCCAAGCACTGCCCCTTCTTAGTAAACACGCCCACTCCCATCCGACTGTGGGCCAACCTGGGACATGCCAACCCTCCCCCACCATCCCTGTCACAAAACAATGCAGAATGCACTCTGCCTCCACATCTCGAGCATGCGCAGGCGCCCCGCGACCAGACGAGAAGGGAGAGGGAGCAGCAGCAGCAGAAGGAGGAGGAGGAGGAGGAGGGGGAGGAGGAGGAGGAAGAGACGAGGCAGAAGCAGGAGGAGGAGAAGGAGAAAGAGGAGGAGGAGGAGGAGGAGGAGGTGGAAGAGGAGAAGGAGGATGAGGGGGAGGGAGGAGGAGGAGGAGGAGGAGGAGGAGGAGGAGGAGGAGGAGGAGGAGGAGGAGGAGGAGGAGGGAGGAGGAGGAGGAAGAGGAGTAGGAGGAGGAGTAGGCATCGAGGTACGAGGACGAGACGAGGAAGAGACGAGGACGAGACGAGACGAGGACGAGGACGAGGACGAGGACGAGAAGAAGAGGAGGATTTGATAGATGGAGGAGGAGAGGAGAAGCAGGAGGAGGGCAGAGTAAGAGGGAGGGCGGATGAGGAGGGAGAGGAGGAGGAAGCGGAGTGAGGGGAAGAGGAGGAGGGGAGGAGGAGGAGGAGGAAGGGAGATGGGAAGGAGGAAAGGAGGAGGAGGAGGAAGAAGATACGAGGAGGAGGGACGAGGAGATAGAGGGAGGAGCGGGAGGAGGAGGAGGAGGAGGAGGAGGAGGAGGAAGGAGAGAGGAGAAGGAGGGGGAAGAGAGGAGGAGAGGAGGAGGAGGGGAGGTGGGAAGGAGGAGGAAGGACTCTGAGGAGGAGGGGGGGAAGGAGGCAGGAGGAGGAGAACATCTGGGAGGAGGAGACGGAGGTGGAGGAGATGGAGGAGGATGAGGATGAGGAGGATGAGGCGGAGGAGGAGGAGGAGGAGGAGTAGGAGGACGAGTAGGAGGAGGAGGAGGAGGAGGGGGAGGAGGGAGAGGGAGGAAAAATGATGATGAGGAGTGAGGGGAAGAGGAGGGATGAGGAGGATCAGGAGGAGGGATAAGGGGATGAGGATTAGGGGGGAAGGAGGATGAGGAGGATGAGGAGGATGAAGAGAAAACAGAGGAGGATGATGGGGAGGAGGAGGAGGACGAGGAGGAGAGGAGGGAGGAGGAGGAGGAGGAGGAGGAGGAAGGAGGAGGAGGAGGAGGAGGAGGAGGAGGAGATGGAGGGAGGGAGGAGGGAGGGAGGGAGGAGGGAGGGAGGGAGGGAGGGAGGAGGAGGAGGAGGAGGAGGCGGAGGAGGAGGAGGAGGAGGAGGAGGAGCAGGAGCAGGAGCAGGAGGAGCAGGAGTGAGGCAGTGCGCCCTCGTTGGTTCACTGCCACAACAGCGAGGTTGGGGACCTCCCCCGTCGCTGGCGGACGACTACGCCAGCAGTCTGTGTTTTTAGATTCGGCTGCATCACTCCCTCCCTGCTTAGCCCTTCTTCTAGGCCTCCGAGATGGGGTCGGAGCAGATGGGGTCGGAGGATCGCGCCGCATCGCCCACGTCGACGATACATCGCCAGTGCATCGCCGACGCATCGCCGATACATCGACGATGCATCGCCGATGTATTGGCGATGCGGCGCGATCCTCCGACCCCATCTACTCCGACCCCATCTCGAAGGCTTCTACTTCTGCCAGCGGGTCATCCAGTCAAGACGCTGCAGCGAGGGCCACTTTTGGGCACAGCAGGGGCCCTGGTTTCCAGCCCGTTCCGCAGATCCCAGATCGGGGTCAGGAAGCCGTTCGTCGCCGACATTCGCCGTGGCCGGAACAGCACCTCCGTTCCTTGCGTGGCGGTCCGTATGGTAGCACGGTGATGCGGCGAGCTTGCGGGGAAGTGAGAAGGTGCGCGCCTCCTCAGAAGGCTCGGAGGGTCAGGCCTTCTGACAAGCTTCCTGAGCCTTCCCCGGAGCCACGGACAAATTCTCAGAGGGCCAGAGGGCTTCTGAAGAAGCCCCGCCGCCTTCCCCTCCCCCCCCCCGGGGCGCGCCGCCGAACGAGGACTCGGCCGACGCCTCCCCTCCTCCCCATACGTACACAGACATGCGACGTCCTGGAGGTCCCGACCCTGGAGGTCCCGACCCCTTCCCCAGGACCGGCTCCTCGTCCCGAGTCGTCTTCTTGACGTCCCCTGGGGCCCCTGGAGGTCCCGACCCTCTCCCCTGGACCGGCTCCTCGTCCCGAGTCGTCTTCTTGACGTCCCCTGGGGCCGGGCGAGGGGCCCCCCGGGGCCCCCTCGGGGCCGAGCCATAGCGAACCGCCGCCCAAACCCAAACCCCCGACGTCCTGGCTTTGCAGGGGCGGCGTCCCCCGGAAGCCCCGACCCTTTCCCCACAGCGCCGAATTTTCCTCCCGCCTCGTCTTAGTTTGTTGGCGGCCCCGGGGCCCGTCGAGAGGCCCCGCCAAGGCCGAACACGGCCAGAAGCCTCCCGCCCAGATCTGTTCTCCGGCACGGTCATGTCTGGGTGCGGTGGGGGCGTTGGTTAAGGAATGTGAATGTGCCCAGGGGGCTTTCGACCCTGGATGATTCCTTCTCTGATGAGGTCGGCAGTGATATCCATCGCCACTCCACGATTGGTGTTTCACCAGCTTTCAGACCCTGGACTCCTTATCCAATGGTTCCTTATCAAATGCCCGCACCGTCCGTAGCCATTTTGGCTCCAGCCGATTTGTGGCACAGTCTCCCGCGGGCCCCGCGGCAGTGGTGTGGCATGGAGGCGGCGGCCAAGGGCGCCGCCGAGGGCGGTGGCGGCGGCCAGGCGGTGGCAGCGGCGGTCGCTGCGGCTTGCAGGTGCGTTGCGGCTTCGGCACAGCCTGCGCAAGCCAGGGGCGACGGCGTCGAGGAGCTTGCGGTGCGCTTTGCCGCGATGGCTCCGGCGATGCTGCAGCGCATCCGGGGGCAGTGACCCGATGGGTAGGCGCGCTCGCGCCGCAACGTCGGCGCCCACCTGGCGCCTGGGCGAAGCGGATCCCCCGATCGAGCTGCTCGAGGATGCCCTCCTGGACCCACAGCGTTCGCAGAGGTGGGCGCGCCAGCACGTGCAGGACAGGGCGGAGGAGTCCGATGTGTAGGATGGCGCCACCGAGGAGTCCACGGAGAGCGGATCGGCCTTGGAGATGGAGGACAAGCCGGTCGCCGAGCTCATGAAGCAGGCGCTGGGCGACAAAGCGGAGCATGGGTCCGACGGTAAGTATGTGCAGCTGGTGAAGGTGTTGGCGATCCTCGCGAGCGAAGTGGCGAAGCTCAAGGCCCAGCTCGCGATGGCGATCAAGAATGAGAGCGGAGAGGCTGTGCAGGAAAGTATCGACAACCCCGTCAGGATGAAGGTGAAGGCCGTGATCGGGGAGGTAGCGCAGGACTGCATCGACAACCCCATCACGATGAAGGTGAAGAGCGACCCGCCCAAGAAGGCAAGAAGCTCAAGGAGCCGCACATCGAGGGTGGCGACAAGGAGAATATCGCGAACCTACCGTGGATGTCAAGAATTAGCGCGAAATCAGTTCGTAACGTTGGAACTCGTCATTCAAAGGCCACGATATCCAGGCTTCGGCAAGTTTTTTGGCAGCCAATGTAAGAAATAAGCGCGAACCACGGACGCACTTTTTCTCAATCCGTGTTCGGTTACGCTTAGGTTGCGATCCATCTGTTCGCATGGCGGAATTCAAGGGTACGAATGGGTTTCGCGCTAATTCTTTCCAGCCACGGTAGCTGAGCCCTACGCGTTCGAAAGTTAGCGGCAGGAGCGTGGGGTCGCGTGGGCGATGCAGGCGTTAATTGGGGAGGTGGCGCAGGATGGCATCGGCAGCCCCGTCAGGATGAAGGTGAAGATCGGCGCGCCCGCGAAGCGCAGGAAGCCCAAGGAGCCGCACTTCGAGGACGGCGACAAGGAGAATATCGAGAACCTCAAAGAGTCCCACGACCGTCGCGGCAAGCAGCATGAGCTCGGGGGCGTCGTCGCGATGGCTGAGGGCGTCTTGCAGGATTCGAAGCGGCAGGACAAGTTCAACGGCGGCGGCAAGGATAAGATCGAGGACGGCGTGAAGGTGTTGGTGGGCGGCGCGGCGACTTTCTGCGAGGAGCGTGAGGCCAAGCGGAAGGAGCAGGAAGGCACCGTCAAACACTGCACGATGTTCAAGGGTTCGGGCGACTCGACGGCGTTGGCCGACGTGGTTCCGCTTGGCCGGACGGTCCTGCGCGCGGCGGCGCTGCCCCTGGCCCGTGCTCGGCCGTCGGCCGCTGAGGCCGCCGCCGCGCAGGCTAGGCTCCCGAGCCGTCAGGTGGAGGGCTCGGAGCAGAAGGCGGCCGTGGGCTCCGATGGGCTTGGCGAGCCTCTGCGTGCCCCCACGCCCCTGATGGCCGAAGGCGCGACGCTGCGCGGGCATGCTGCTCGCGGAGGCGTTCTAGGCCGAGGCCGAGGCCGCGCGGCGGGCACTGGAGCGGCGCCAGGCGGAGTGGCGGCGCTGCTGTGCTGCTGCGGATGCGGCGGAGACCCAGCTTAGTGGATGCTGCGGATGCTGCGGATGCGGCCTGAGTGGATGCGGCGGCCAGGATCGAGGTTAGGTTGGTCTCCTCGGCTACCTTCGCGCAGGCCAGCCGTAGGCGGTATCGGCGCGTCTTGCGATGGTGCCGCCTGGTGGCTAGGGGCGAGCGGGCGGCGGCGGCGGCGGCCCGCGAGGGCGGCCAGGGCGCGGCCCGCAACATTGCATGAATTCGCCCACGGCCCTCGCTGCCCATGAAGAGCCAAAAATGCCCGCACCGTGCCCCGCTGTGCGCGCCGCCAACTGGTTGTAAGTAATCGAATATCCTGGCGTTGTTCCTCCGAGTCGGGATCTGCTGGGGCCCGTCTCGGGCCCAGGGGCCGCGCCGGGGGGGGGAGACAGCGCCACTGAAAACCGTCGGAGGCTTGCGTGCTCGGCTCGCGTGGCTCTTATTGGGGCATCGCTGGGCCCTGCTCCCAGGGCGCGCGGAGCGCGGGGGCGGCGCCGGAGGCGCTGCCTCGGGGGGCCAGCGCCGGCCCAAGAGATCCACATGGAGCTCCGAGAGCGTGTGTGTATATCTGAAAGGGCGTGTTCTACCGCTGCTGGCGGAAAACAGGGGGGGGGGTCACTACCGGTTCGAACCCCGCCCCCCCCTCCCCCCCCCCAGTCCATCATGAAAAGGGGGGGGGGTCAATGCCGGTTCGAACCCGCCTCCCCCATTCGGAAACCGGGGGGGGGTCACTACCGGTTCGAAACCCCCCCAGGCCCCCCCCTCGAAAAACGGAGGGGGGTGCGGACAGTGGTGGGGACGGTGGTGGTGGGGACAGTGGTGAGGGGACAGCGGGACAGTGGTGGGGACAGTGGGACAGTGGTGGGGGCGGTAGTGGTGGGGACAATGGTGAGGACAATGGTGGGAACAGTGGGGACAGTGGGACAGTGGTGGGGACGGAGTTGGTTGAGGACAGTGGTTGGGGACAGTGGTGTGGGGAACAGTGGGAAGTGTGGGAAACTGTGGGACAGTGGAAGGGTACAGCGGCTTGGTGGGGACAGTGGGAAGGCGGTGGAGAGGACGGCGGCGGGGAAATGGGGGAAGAGGTACGTGCGGGGACAGTGGTGGGGACAGTGGTGGAGACAGCGAGGACAGTGGGATAGTAGGGACAGTGTGGGGCTGTGGAGGAAAAGTGGGGAGAGTGGAACCGTGGTGGGAACAGTGGTGGGGACAGTGGGGACAGTGCGACAGTGGTGGGAACACTGGTGGGGACAGTAGGGACGGTGGTGGAAGCAGTGGGGACAGTGGTGGTGAGGACAGTGGTGCTGGGAACAACAGTGGGGGATGTGACGCGGACGGTGGTAGGGACCGGGAGTCGTTTGCTGGCGGTGAGTGGGGGGGGTGGGGAGGGGTTCGAACCGGTAGTGACCCCCCCTCTGGTTTTCGAGGGGGGGGGTCGAACCGGTAGTGACCCCCCCCGGTTTTCCGAGTTGACGGGGGGGGAGTCGTGGGAGGGGGGGGGTTAGTCGGGGGGAGGGGTGGGGAGGGGTGGGGGTGGGGGAGTTCCAAGCAGAGGGGGGGGGGGGGGGATTTTCGGAGGGGGGGGGACCCCGGGTTTCGGAGGAAGAGGGGGGGAATTTTCCACAGTAAAGCGGCGGTGGATCACGTTCTCTCGTATATATATATACGTAGGTATGTATGTATGAATGTATGTATATATATATAGAAAGAGTGTCTTACGTATGTATGTATGTATGTACGTATGTATGCATGCATGCATGCATGTCTGTTCATATGTATGCACATCTACAACCTTTTCATGTATTCACGTTGTTGTATATCTACATATGTATGTATGTATACACACCTCAACAATCCATATGTAAACGGGCGTCGAGAGAACACCCGCCCAGACAAGGGGACTGCGGAAATCTGCACCGGTTCACTCGACATCGGCATTCGGGTGTGTTGGTGCTGTCCCCTGTCGGTTTTGCCAATCGACGTGTTTCTCGCCGGATACACTCGGCTGTGGACGTCGGTTGGGAATTCCGAGTAAGTGCGTTCGGAATGCGGTACCGCGCGCATTGCGGAGCACCCCTGTCAGCATTCACTAGAGGGCGTTTTGTTGGAGAAGGGGGTCCCGCAATCCTCGGAATCTGCTTAGGCTGTTTTTATCGTACCGCTCTCCCCTCATTCACTTCCTCCTCGTTTCCTCCTCTACCTCGCCTGGCGACCTCGCCACCCCTGGTCGAAATAGGGGTGGGATAGGGTTAAGTCGGGCATGCCCCTCTACAGAAGAAATATTCAAAAACTGTCAAAGACAGTCTGGGGACGATATTATATTCCTTAATTTGTGTGAAGACGTCTTGATTGTTTATATATAAATATGAGATTCGTCAAAATCCTCCTGTAGGAGCTCATGCCCGACCTAAGGATGGGGATCAGGGTGGGGGAAATACATCTGCTGTGTGCAGTTGGCCGCGGCCCCACAGCCGCCAGGCGCCTTCCTCGACACGTGGGCGCCCAGAGAGGCGCCAGGAAAATCAGTTGCGTGACCTGATTCGCGAAGCCCCCCTTTCATGGCGCCAACTTCGCAGAGCGGATTCGTTCAGAAAACGATAGGGTGGGTCCGGGGTGTCCTGGAGAATTTCGTTCCGGACTTCGAGTTCAAGTCGCATTCTTTCTTTTTTTTTTTTTGTTTGTTTTTGTTGTTGTGTTTGTTCTGTTACTTTTTTGTTGGTGTGCTGCTTTTTTCCATTGTGTATTCTGTGTTTTTTTTTTTTTTAGGGTTGGGTTTTGGATTTGTGTTTGTGTTTTTGTGTTTGTCTTGTTTTTTCTTGCCTGTTTTGCTGTGTGTTTTTTGTTTGTGTTTTGCTTTGTTGTTGTTGTTGTTTTGTGTTCTTTCTGTGGTTTTGGCTTTGTTGTTAGTTGTCTTTTGTGTTTGTTTTGTTTGTTTTTGTTTCTTTTTTTTGTTGTCGTTTTGTTTTGTTGTTTTCTGTTTACTGGATTTTGTGTGCCTGTTGTAATTGTTGTTCTTTTGTTCTCTTTTTGTTTTTTTTGTTCAATTTTCTTTTTTTCTGATTTTTTTTTGGTTTTTTGTTTGTCTTTATCTCATTGTGTTTTTTTTGTTGTTTTTTTCATTTTTTCTTTTTTTTTGGTTTTGATTCTTTGTGTTTTTGTGGCCAGGAACGAAGACCAGAAAGAACCCACGCAAAATGCACTTCGTTTTTCGCTCGCCGCTTCGGGCAACAATCCACGCAGAAATCCGCTGCAGCACGTCTGTAAGGCCAGTGCAATGACCCTTTGTCTACCCCTTTTGTCCGACCCCGCTATTCCCGCTCCCACTCCAGCTCACAAGTACATTCCCATCCGCAGTTCCTCGCTCGCAGCTGCTCGTCCTCGGAGGAGGGCTCCTTTTTCGAAGATGGCTGCTCTCCCGCCCCGCCCCAGGGTCCGCTCACAGTCGGTCTCCTGGACCCCTCCCAGAGTCCATCCTCGCCCATGCTTCGAGGCGGCTTCAGCTGTGGCGACGAAGAGGCCTCCAGGAGGCCCCCAGCGGACGAGGGAGGCGCCAGGGAGGGCCCGCCGCAGTCTCGACTGGGCTCTCCTCCGACATGCTCCTTCCCATTTCCCGCTCCAGCTGCTCCTCCTTCCCTCCTCTGGGCGAGCCGCGCCCCGTTTCGGTTCAGGAGAGCGGCTCCGTGCTGCCTCCCGCCAGTTCCAGAAGCCGTCCGCCCCACCCCGGCTGGCGCGGCAGTCGGCCAGGCGTCGAGGAACAGAAGACGGCATCTACGCGTACATGCTCGGAGCTCCGCGCAGACGCCCTGGGTCGGCGCTGGACCCCTTTCCCTGGCCCGCGCCCGGGTCGCCGATCCGAGAAGTCCGCGCGGAGCTCCGAAAGTTTATGTGTGTGCGCAGGTTTTTGTTCCTCCAGAGTGGCGTCGGACTGGCCGTCGGTGGTTTCTGCCCCGTGCAGCTGGCCTCGCTGGGCGAAGTTGGTAATGTTCCGCCCCTGGCGCGACGTTTCTAAAGACCAACGCTCATGTCTAATCGGGATCCCGGAGAAAGGGCGCAAGGGGCGACGGATGCGGCCTGCCGTTTGCGTCCTTGCAACACGTGCGCCGCCGCATGTCGCACGCTGTGTGATGTATGTCTGCGGCGCGTCCAGTGGTGTCCAGAGGTCCAGAGGCCGCAATGCGAGGAGGAGCCGGAGGAGGAGCCGGAGGAGGAGGAGGAGGAAGAGGAGGAGGAGAGGGAGGAGACGAGGAGGAGACGAGGACGAGGACGAGGACAAGGACGAGGACGAGGACGAGGAAGAGGGCGAGGAGGACGAGGGTGGTGAAGCTGATGATGTTTAGGGGGAAGATGGAGGGAGGAGGAGAATTTGAGGAGGACGAGGTCCAGAGTACACGCAGCACGTCGCTGATGCTGCAAGAAGCCCTCCCGCCCAGGCCCGCCCCAGGTCGGCTTCGAGGTTGGGCTCGGTCTCCTGCCTTGCTTCTGCCGCCCTGGACGGACAGAGCCGAGGGCCTCAAGCCTGGGGCTCAAGAGACGGGTGGCAATGCAAACGGGTGTCAGCCAGAGCGCCGGACTTGCAGGATCCTGCGGAGGCAGGGTTGCATTGACCCGCGCTAGGGCGCAGGATCCTACTGGGCCCTGCACGATCTTGCAGGATCCTGCAAGGCTTGACTGACCCGGGTATTCATCGACCTGGGTCAGTGAGTCCCCGACCGGCGCTATCAAGGATCTTTCCTGTTTCTCTCCACATGGAAGTTGTCTGATGTCTGCGCTTGGGCATTCGCTCAAGCCGTTTCCTGGCCGTTCTGTCGAACGAGGCCACGTGGGCCACCCGTGCGCCTGCCACGCACATTCGACAGCGCCCGCGCGCCCGCCAACTTTCTCAAACACCACGAAGCGGGCCACGCGCGCGCGTCTCCCGCGCGCTCTGGCCGACATGCTTCCAGCACCATGTGCTTCCAAACGTTGTTATCAATATTTGACCAACAGCATACGAAGGCCTGATGGTGGCTTTCAGTAGACACCTCGTCAAGGCTTCCAAGTTTCTTCGCGCGCGCACTTCCCATTCATCCTCACCATCGCTATCGTTGTCATCATCATCGCCATCGTCATCATTGCTGCCGTCTTCATCACCGCCATCACCATCGTCGCCGTCATCATTTCGCCATCGCCATCAGCTTCATCATCGTCATCGTCGTGCAGTCGCCGCCGTCATCCGCGCCACCATCATCATTGGCACCAGTCGCCTGCCCGAGTCGTAGATCTGCACGAGAGGTGTTCTCGCGTCACTACGCCAGTTCAGTGTTGCCCACAATTTGCGGGTGGCTGGGTGAGAATTTTGTTCGATCATTGGAGGCCGTGGCGAGCATTGGAGTTGACGACG